CTAGTTTGTTATTGTATCATTGCAAGTTAGTGTCGTGTGCTGACACAAGTTTTCAAACCGTAGCGTTGATTTTGTCGTTCGCGATTGCTGCTGCGTCTTTTGATAGATAATTGTTTTTTAAATGATATAGATTATACTTGCAAAAGCGGTGTGTGTTTATGTGTCCTACTGAGAAAAAAAAACTGTTTTTAAAGAAGCGCGAGCATGCTCTCACGCACACTGGCAAACATTTTATTAAAGGGATATACTTTTTTTTTTTAAAAACGTCTGCTTTCAAAGAAAAGGTCCGTTGTGGTGGTGCAGTGGTTATATCTACACGCTTGCCTGCCTATCCAGACGTCTTGGTTTCAAATAAGTAACCACCGGAGGCGACATTTTTTTGTGTGTAATTCACAGGTTACCATACGGTGGCGATTTTTTTTTTTTTTTCAAGTTTTGCCACTCTAGGATTGCAGTCTGTAGGACTAACATCTGCAGTGTGAGAATCAATCAGCTACACATCCTCGTAAACCCCCTTTAGTCACAGAGTCATAACTTCTTCTTAGAGTCCAGGCCGTGTGGCGTTGGTAGTCATGTCTATCCACAACCTTCTGTCTCGTGTTCTTTCAATTAGCTCTGATAGGGTGATCTTCCCTAGTCCATGCCGTGTGGCGTAAGTAGTCATGTCTATCCACAACCTTCTGACTTCTGTACTTTCAATCAACTCTGACACAGATGATCTTCCATGTCAGACTGTCCAGCATCTGTTCTCTCTGTCTCCCTCTGCCTCTCTTCCCTCCAACTTTCCTACTGTCAAGATGCACTACAGCTTTTGCTTCTGATCACATGACCAAAGAATGTCGATTATCTCTTTCAGATGTGGGCAGGGCAATCAGTTCTTTTCGTGCTGTTTGACAGATTCATATAGCACAGTTAGTGTGGGGACACCACAAATCGTTGCTAGGTAACATGAAGTTCAGTGTAGATTTATCTGATGGCACTGAGGTCAAGAAAAAATTGATGATGACCAGTCCGCTGACATATTTTCTGGCAGTTTGGGGGATGGGGCGGGGGGGGGGGGGGGAAGGGTCGGTGGGCATAATTCTTGACTAAGTGCTAATACAAATAATAATAATAATAATAATGTTCTGAATGATAAATATCTATAATAATATATTTAAATAATGTTAAATATACAAACAAATGCTTCAACAATCACCTTGTATACTTGATTGGAGGTCTGTTTAGCTCTTATGACATATTTTCTCAAGGATTATGAGAATGTGGTAAAAACTTTTTGGGAGCAAATGAATAATACAGAAACCCTGTGGGGGGGGGAGGGGGGGGGGTTAAAGGCCTAGAGAGCCCCAAGCCCGAGCCCTATGTTCTGGAGAGCCCTAGGTTCTGGAGAGCCCTAGGTTATGAAGAGTCCTATGTTTTGGAGAGCTCTATGTTCCAGAGAGCTCTAAGTTCTGGAGAGCTCTAGGTTCTGGAGAGCCCAAGGTTCTGGAGAGCCCTAGGTTCTGGAGAGTCCTAGGTTCTGGAGAGTCCTAGGTTCTGGAGAGTCCTAGGTTCTAGAGAGTCCTAGGTTCTGGAGAGCTCTAGGTTCTGGAGAGCTCTAGGTTCTGGAGAGCTCTGGGTTCCTAAGCTGGATTTTGTGGTGTCTGACCATGTATATAAATATACAATTTTTAACAAAAATGTCAGTTCTACTCTAGATTTGTTTTTTTTTTTTAGCCTAATCTTGGGGACTCTCTGAAAGTATAACAGTAAAAGGGTGTTAAAGTTTGAAATGAACAGCGACTTACACTGAACCTCTCCCTATATATAATATTCCAATTTAAATAAAGAAAGAAGGGGAAAAGGGGAAGGAAGAAGAGGAAAAAATGAGGAAGGAAGGAAGAAATTAAGAAGGAAGAAAGAATAGGAGACGCAGGTGTGCCAAATCGACTGAAACTAAAATGGGTATAGGAAAATGGCACGAAAAGTAAAGGCGGTCGGTGTGGCTACTGAATGAGTGGTGTGTAAATATGCGGGTTTAACACCTCCTACTCAATTGGCCAGTAATGAATAAGGGTTTTTTGTTCCCCCATAACACAAACGTGAGGGAAGGGCTGTTGTAGGGGGAGGGGGGAGTTATTGACAGAATGAATATAGAAGGGCAGCTGTACACAGTGGCAAAGAATAGGACGACTTGGCGATAGCTCGGGTGGGCGTCTACAGATAGAGAGCACAAGAAGCAGAAAAACAATGTCTCTAGGAGGTCCGCAGTTGGGCTTAGTATCAGTGACTGATGGGAAAACCCCTCGGCGGCGTTCAAAGTTGTTCACGCCCAACGTTCGGTATGTGCTCTAAAGCAATCTTCCGTGATGGAACTATCTATCTATTTCTCGCTAGCAGAAAACTATTATTACCGGGCACAGTTGAACCGAGTCAAAATGAAAGTCTGATAAAGATCGACGCTTCAACGCAGAACGAGGAGAGCTTTCAATCTGGAGATATGCCAAAAATCAAACCAGTCTGCGAAGAAGTAGAAAATCCTAATCAAGACTTCGAGAAGGATAAAATCGACTTTGCTGAGCCTGCAGCCCTGCAGGTTCCATCGTCTGATTCAAATGAAGCGGGCGAGACTTCGCCCGTGGACATCCTTCCGGTCGTAGATGACGGCCCGACTTCCGACTCTCCTGGCCAAGAGGTTCTAAAAGCCTGTCTCTTGAGACGGGACTGGAACAACGAGATCTTCTCGCCAGTCCACCTCTTTTCACGGCCGGAAACGTTCGATATTCCGAGCGGCCGACCGTCTCAGCAAGTTGCAAGTGCTCTGGCCTTTCTAAACATGAGTGGCGACCACTACTTCAACTATCGCCCGCCAGGGGTCCGAAAAAAAAAGAAAAATTTCTTCCGGAGGTTTTTCTGCTGTTGCCGGTAAATGCAAACAGGCATTTGTTTTCTGCCCACGGTCCTTTTAAGGGCCACCTAACCTTTCACCTTTATTGGTTTTATACAAAGTTCTCACCTAATGAAATTGGGTAACAGAAAATATTAATATGTGAAAGAAAGAGGGAGAAATAGTGATATGAAGAGAGAGAGAAAGGAGAAAGAGAGTCTAAACGGGGGAAAGAGTGAAATGAAAAGAGAGAGAAAGGGAAAAAAAGAGTCTAAATGGGAGAAAGAGTGAGATGAAAAGAGAAAGAAAGGAAAAAAGAGAGTCTAAACGGGAGAAAGACTGATATAAAAAGAGAGAAAGGAAAAAATGGAGTCTAAACGGGAGAAAGAGTGAAATGAAAAGAGAGAGAGAAAGATAAAAGAGTCTAAAAGGGAGAAAGAGTGATATGAAAAGAGAGAGAAAGGAAAAAATAGAGTCTAAACGGGAGAAAGACATATAAAAAGAGAGAAAGGAAAAAATGGAGTCTGAACGGAAGAAAGAGTGAAATGAAAAGAGAGAGAAAGGGAAAAGAGTCTAAAAGGGAGAAAGAGTGATATGAAAAGAGAGAGAAAGGAAAAAGATAGTCTAAACGGGAAAAAGAGTGATATGAAAAGAGAGAGAAAGAAAAAGAGAGTCTAAACGGGAAAAAGAGTGATATGAAAAGAGAGAGAAAGAAAAAGAGAGTCTAAACGGGAAAAAGAGTGCTATGAAAAGAGAGAGAAAGAAAAAGAGTCTAAACGGGAGAAAGAGTGATATGAAAAGAGAGAGAAAGGAAAAGGTGAGTCTAAACGGGAGAAAGAGTGATGTGAGCCCTACGTTCTGAAGAGCCCAAGGTTATGAAGAGCTCTAGGTTGTGGAGAGCTCTAGGTTCTGGAGAGCTCTAGGTTCTGGAGAGCCCTAGGTTATGAAGAGCTCTAGGTTCTGGAGAGCTCTAGGTTCTGGAGAGCCCTAGGTTCTGGAGAGTCCTAGGTTCTGGAGAGCCCTAGGTTATGAAGAGCCCTAGGTAATGAAGAGCTCTAGGTTCTGGAGAGCTCTAGGTTCTGGAGAGCTCTAGGTTCTGGAGAGCTCTAGGTTCTGGAGAGCTCTAGGTTCTGGAGAGCTCTAGGTTCTGGAGAGTCCTAGGTTCTGGAGAGCCCAAGGTTCTGGAGAGCTCTAGGTTCTGGAGAGCCCTAGGTTCTGGAGAGCTCTAGGTTCTGGAGAGCCCTAGGTTCTGGAGAGCTCTAGGTTCTGGAGAGCCCTAGGTTCTGGAGAGCTCTAGGTTCTGGAGAGCCCTAGGTTCTGGAGAGCCCTAGGTTCTGGAGAGCTCTAGGTTCTGGAGAGCCCTAGGTTCTGGAGAGCCCTAGGTTCTGGAGAGCCCTAGGTTCTGGAGAGCTCTAGGTTCTGGAGAGCTCTAGGTTCTGGAGAGTTCTAGGTTCTGGAGAGCTCTAGGTTCTGGAGATTTCTAGGTTCTGGAGAGTTCTAGGTTCTGGAGAGCTCTAGGTTCTGGAGAGCTCTAGGTTCTGGAGAGTTCTAGGTTCTGGAGAGTTCTAGGTTCTGGAGAGCTCTAGGTTCTGGGGCGTATGCTTCCAGGTGGATCAAGCCCAAACAGACAATAAGAAAGTTCCTGGGAGGTGAAGTTTTTTCATCATCAATCAGCAAGCGCTTTAGAGAAAGTCTCAAGGTCATTCTGCCTCCAGCCCTATGTGCTTTCATAGAAAATGCATCTTTAGTGACTTGAATCCACCTGTGCTTTTTTTTCTGGAAATTGTACCCTCCATCACTGTTCTGTCTAGGCCACCATCACATTTAACTTGGCCAGCATGTCTTAGCTGCCCCTCCTTCCTGGTACCATGCCTTCTGCTATAATTTGTTCCCCTCCGCCATTGTGTTTGACATGACCCAAATATTTCAGCTTGCGAGACAAGATGCTGTTTATTAGCCAATCTTCCTTGATGATGAGATCTTTCAAGATGTCAATATTTCTCATCTTCTTTGTCCAAGATATTCTGAGAATCTTTCTAAAGCATTTCAGCTCAAAAGCTCCTAACTTGACGGCATTTAGTCAAATTATATAATGGATATAATTTTTCTCATTCAAGCATTTAAAGGCTTGGGGATGGAAGGCTTTCATAAAATGCAGGATGACCTTGAAATGGTGATTGAGAGCGATGGATGCAGCAACATGGACAGTGATACCGGGGCGACCTCTGACCTGAATAATATTCCTGTGCGACAGAAATTGGATCACATAATACATTCTAATGTATTTATGGTGAGTTCATGGCAACTGTTTCTTATTGTGCTGTACATCTCTTGGCGGTTCTCAATTAGCCTTTTATCTGTTGACTGTTATAGCCATTTTTCTTTCAGCTTAGACAGTTCAACATCACAATATCCAAAAAAATATTGAAAGGAAATGATTGACACATACGAGGCAGTCAGGTTGGAAAATATGACAATCAAGATCATGCAGCAAGGACTGCATGAAAAAGACTAGCATATGTCATTTTCTGTGCTTCAAGAGATTTGTGATGTGAACTGCATATTCAGAAGATAGGGAATGGTTGGCTACCACAGAACTGGCAGGATGCCTTATGCACTAATGCATGGCACCTGCTGGTTTCTTGTCACTGCTGGTTTCTTGTCACTGCTGGTTTCTTGTCACTGTTGGTTTCTTGTCACTGTTGGTTTCTTGTCACTGCTGGTTTCTTGTCACTGTTGGTTTCTTGTCACCGCTGGTTTCTTGTCACTGTTGGTTTCTTGTCACTGTTGGTTTCTTGTCACTGCTGGTTTCTTGTCACTGTTGGTTTCTTGTCACTGCTGGTTTCTTGTCACTGTTGGTTTCTTGTCACTGTTGGTTTCTTGTCACTGCTGGTTTCTTGTCACTGTTGGTTTCTTGTCACTGTGGTTTCTTGTCACTGTCACTGGTTTCTTGTCACTGCTGGTTTCTTGTCACTGTTGGTTTCTTGTCACTGTTGGTTTCTTGTCACTGCTGGTTTCACTGTTGTCACTGTTGGTTTCTTGTCACTGTTGGTTTCTTGTCACTGTTGGTTTCTTGTCACTGCTGGTTTCTTGTCACTGTTGGTTTCTTGTCACTGTTGGTTTCTTGTCACTGCTGGTTTCTTGTCACTGTTGGTTTCTTGTCACTGTTGGTTTCTTGTCACTGTTGGTTTCTTGTCACTGTTGGTTTCTTGTCACTGTTGGTTTCTTGTCACTGTTGGTTTCTTGTCACTGTTGGTTTCTTGTCACTGTTGGTTTCTTGTCACTGTTGGTTTCTTGTCACTGCTGGTTTCTTGTCACTGCTGGTTTCTTGTCACTGTTGGTTTCTTGTCACTGTTGGTTTCTTGTCACTGTTGGTTGTCTTGTCACTGTTTCTTGTCACTTGGTTTCTTGTCACTGTGGTTTCTTGTCACTGTTGGTTTCTTGTCACTGCTGGTTTCTTGTCACTGTTTGTTTCTTGTCACTGTTGGTTTCTTGTCACTGTTGGTTTCTTGTCACTGTTGGTTTTCTTGTCACTGTTGGTTTCTTGTCACTGGTTTCTTGGTTTCTTGTCACTGTTGGTTTCTTGTCACTGCTGGTTTCTTGTCACTGTGGTTTCTTGTCACTGTTGGTTTCTTGTCACTGTTGGTTTCTTGTCACTGTTGGTTTCTTGTCACTGTTGGTTTCTTGTCACTGTTGGTTTCTTGTCACTGTTGGTTTCTTGTCACTGTTGGTTTCTTGTCACTGTTGGTTTCTTGTCACTGTTGGTTTCTTGTCACTGTTGGTTTCTTGTCACTGTTGGTTTCTTGTCACTGTTGGTTTCTTGTCACTGTTGGTTTCTTGTCACTGTTGTTGGTTTCTTGTCACTGTTGGTTTCTTGTCACTGTTGGTTTCTTGTCACTGTTGGTTTCTTGTCACTGTTGGTTTCTTGTCACTGTTGGTTTCTTGTCACTGTTGGTTTCTTGTCACTGTTGGTTTCTTGTCACTGTTGGTTTCTTGTCACTGCTGGTTTCTTGTCACTGTTGGTTCTTGTCACTGTTGGTCTTGTCACTGTTGGTTTCTTGTCACTTTTGGTTTCTTGTCACTGTTGGTTTCTTGTCACTGTTGGTTTCTTGTCACTGCTGGTTTCTTGTCACTGTTGGTTTCTTGTCACTGTTGGTTTCTTGTCACTGTTGGTTTCTTGTCACTGTTGGTTTCTTGTCACTGTTGGTTTCTTGTCACTGTTGGTTTCTTGTCACTGTTGGTTTCTTGTCACTGTTGGTTTCTTGTCACTGTTGGTTCCATCAGTTGAGAACTTTAACTCTAGTGACTGACTGTTGGCACCTTCAGCCTTATACATTTGATGCATGTTCAAGCTGTTTTTTTTGTTGGGACTGCTCTTTGTTTGACTTTTCACAAGCAACAGTGATGGGCATTTCACGTTATTTTCACTGGAAGAACAGACTAATCATGAAATACTAGTTTGCCATGAAATCTTGACACAGTGACTCAAAAAGCAACTATACAGCTACACAACTAACAGCAACAAATCCCAGGAACCCCATTCAACCTTTATATAGTGGCATCATGTAGTTATGAAGATAGATGCTGTTCTACGATGTATGCTGGTGGTGCTGGTGTGGTGGTGGGGGTGTGGGTCACTGGTGGTGGGGGGGGGGGGGGGGGGGGGTTTATCTAAATCACATATGTAACAAATTAATTTTAGTGACATTATCAGGTTTGAATTACTGTGTTGGCATTCACATATTTAACCTATAAATGCATTCACATCATGAATTTTTGATTATTGCGTTACTAATCACAGATTAGTGGGCTCTGGTGAAGTTGCAACAGGCCTAGCAAGCCGGCAATGGATTTATTATCGCTACAGAAAACACAATGAGATTTAAATGGACTGATCAGCCAGAAACAGAACCTTATATCTCCCTTGACACCCACAGCGGTAAAAGAGGAAGTGAAGAAGAAGAAGAAGAATCACATATTTAACATATGAGAGTGTTCATATCATCAAATTTTTATTGTTATAGTAATAATCACGTATTTAACATACAAATGTTTTAACATCATCACTTAGAGAATTTTTATGCAAGCTTTGAAAGTAGGCCAATTCATATCATACAATTTTGTTTTCTATGTTAGCATTAATTAATTTAACATACGAATGTATTCACATCATCAAGTTTTCATTATTATGTTAGTAATCACATTTGTTACTTATGAATACATTCACGTCATCAAGATTTCATTATTATGTTAGTAATCACAAATGTAACCTATGAGTAAATTCACATCATCAAGTTTTCATTATTATGTTAGTAATCACATATGTAACCTATGAGTAAATTCACATCATCAAGGTTTCATTATTATGTTAGTAATCACAAATGTAACCTATGAATACATTCACATCATCAAGGTTTCATTATTAAGTTAGTAATCACATTTGTAATCTATGAATATATTCACATCATCAAGTTTTCATTATTATGTTAGTAATCAAATTTGTTACTTATGAATACATTCACGTCATCAAGGTTTCATTATTATGTTAGTAATCACATATGTAACCTATGAATACATTTACATCATCAAGGTTTTATTATTATGTTAGTAATCACATATGTAACCTATGAATACATTCACATCATCAAGGTTTCATTATTATGTTAGTAATCACATATGTAACCTATGAATACATTCACATCATCAAGGTTTCATTATTATGTTAGTAATCACATATGTAACCTATGAATACATTTACATCATCAAGGTTTTATTATTATGTTAGTAATCACATATGTAACCTATGAATACATTCACATCATCAAGGTTTCATTATTATGTTAGTAATCACAAATGTAACCTATGAATACATTCACATCATCAAGTTTTCATTATTATGTTAGTAATCACAAATGTAACCTATGAGTACATTCACATCATCAAGGTTTCATTATTAAGTTAGTAATCACATTTGTAATCTATGAATACATTCACATCATCAAGGTTTCATTATTAAGTTAGTAATCACATTTGTAATCTATGAATATATTCACATCATCAAGTTTTCATTATTATGTTAGTAATCAAATTTGTTACTTATGAATACATTCACGTCATCAAGGTTTCATTATTATGTTAGTAATCACATATGTAACCTATGAATACATTTACATCATCAAGGTTTTATTATTATGTTAGTAATCACATATGTAACCTATGAATACATTCACATCATCAAGTTTTCATTATTATGTTAGTAATCACATATGTAACCTATGAATACATTTACATCATCAAGTTCTCTTCATTATGTTAGTAATCATATATGTAACCTATGAATACATTCACATCATCAAGGTTTCATTATTATGTTAGTAATCACATATGTAACCTATGAATACATTCACATCATCAAGGTTTCATTATTATGTTAGTAATCACATATGTAACATATGAATTCATTTACATCATCAAGGTTTTATTATTATGTTAGTAATCACATATGTAACCTATGAATACAACATCATCAGGTTTATTATTAGTTTAATCACAAATGTAACCTATGAATACATTCACATCATCAAGGTTTTATTATTATGTTAGTAATCACATATGTAACCTATGAATACATTCACATCATCAAGTTTTCATTTTTATGTTAGTAATCACATATGTAACCTATGAATACATTTACATCATCAAGTTCTCTTCATTATGTTAGTAATCATATATGTAACCTATGAATACATTCACATCATCAAGTTTTCATTATTGTGTTAGTAATCACATATGTAACCTATGAGTACATTCACATCATCAAGGTTTCATTATTATGTTAGTAATCACATATGTAACCTATGAATACATTTACATCATCAAGGTTTTATTATTATGTTAGTAATCACATATGTAACCTATGAATACATTCACATCATCAAGTTTTCATTATTATGTTAGTAATCACATATGTAACCTATGAATACATTTACATCATCAAGTTCTCTTCATTATGTTAGTAATCATATATGTAACCTATGAATACATTCACGTCATCAAGGTTTCATTATTATGTTAGTAATCACATCTGTAATCTATGAATACATTTACGTCATCAAGTTCTCTTCATTATGTTAGTAATCACATATGTAACCTATGAATACATTCACGTCATCAAGTTTTCATTATTATATTAGTAATCACATCTGTAATCTATGAATACATTTCACGTCATCAGGTGGGGAATTATTGTGCTGGTAATCGTTGACAGTCTTGTGGTCATCACAGAACTTTTGTTTGATCTTGAAATTGTTCACCTTGGAACGGAGCATGATTTTATTCCCAAGGTAAAATGTTGAAGTGTATAACAATTCCCTTCACTTCCTGAAACAATTTGTGTTACTTGATGATACACATGTGTGAGCATACAAATGTTTAAAGGTCTGGTTTTATGGCACTAGATACTCAGTGTGGTCCCTTCTCATCTTTTTCAGGTGGTACCTTCCTTGAATATTTGACAAGGCCCCCATGCCCCACCTCCTTGTCCAGTTTTTTTCATAATATCCTACCAAAGATGACATCACAGGACAGTCCACCATTTTAGAGGGTGGTAAGACTGGGTTTTTGGGCTTTCTGATGGTTTTAATGATCCCAAAACATCTAGAACTGGCTCTAACCCTAAGCCACCTACATCCAACAAGAGAGTGCAGCCTAGGTCCCATAACTGCATGCAGCCTAGGTCCCACAACTGCATGCAGCCTAGGTCCCATAACTGCATGCAGCCTAGGTCCCACAACTGCATGCAGCCTAGGTCCCACAACTGCATGCAGCCTAGGTCCCATAACTGCATGCAGCCTAGGTCCCACAACTGCATGCAGCCTAGGTCCCATAACTGCATGCAGCCTAGGTCCCACAACTGCATGCAGCCTAGGTCCCATAACTGCATGCAGCCTAGGTCCCATAACTGCATGCAGCCTAGGTCCCACAACTGCATGCAGCCTAGGTCCCATAACTGCATGCAGCCTAGGTCCCATAACTGCATGCAGCCTAGGTCCCACAACTGCATGCAGCCTATCTAGCAGACCCTGAAAATTTACTGTCTTGTGACCTGTGGATTTTCCATGTTTGGGTTAGGATATTAAGAAAGCACCCCTTTTCCAACTTAAAAAATATGTGATCAAAAAGATGGAGAAAAAAAACCATCCTAGCACTGCTAACAAGAACCTGGAGAAGAACGTTGACATAAAACAAGATGTCTTCTTCTTCTTCTTAGAATCCTTACTGTTTCGGATTGATAGTCAACTTTCTATCTTGTGAACTTTCACTGAGTTCTGAGACAGATGATCTTCCATGCCATGATGTTAAACTGTCTAGCATCTTCTTTCTCCGTCTCTCTCTCTGTCTCTCTCCCCCTTCAACTCTCCCACTGTAACAATGTACTCGATCTTTCTCCTTCTCACCACATGACCAAAGAATGTAGATTGTATCTTTCTGATTTGGACAGTCAGTTCTCTTTGTGAGTCAGTTTCTTTCAAGACATCTTCATTACTGTTTTTTCTTCCTCAAATCAAAGTGTCAAATAACATAAAAGAAACAATCACCAACAGCTGGTCCTGCTGTACATCTGCATGGTTTGGCACCTCTGCGTCTCAGTCTATGTACAGTAGGCTGTTAATATGCTGGAGAATAGTTATTTATTAGATGAAAGAGTGTAGTTTTGTGGATTTTGCAGTGATGCTAAATTAGGAATTCCCTTGACATCAGCACAGGTCAGAGGGAGTTTCCAAGTCATGGAGGTTAAAGGTGAAAGGTCAGCCAAGAAACTTTTAGCCACGTTTAGAATGTCCCTGAGAAACCTTGCACATAGGAAAAAATTTGAACTATATGTTCGAGAGTGAATAGTGTCTACAGAATCATGTGTGAGAAAAGGAATGAGCTCAGGAGAGAGAATATGAGGGGCATTCTATGTGAGATCTGCAAATGGAAAGGGTATGCTTGAAGTCTGCAAGGAACTGCTAGGACACCTGTGTGAACCTGAGACATCTACACTGTGAGATAGAACTTGGTGACATGTGGCAGGCAAGATGGAAGAATGACTGATGATTGTTTGAGTGAGAGATAAACAGTGATTGTGAACAGCTGACAGCAAGGTTGATTGAATGTGGTCTACATGTTGTAGAACAGTGACATGCTCTATCTATGTGACTGACATTGTGAGGTAAGAGAGGTCTATCAGCTTGATAATAAATGCTAGACAGCTTATCGACAGTGGAGAGAGACAGTGTCACTTGATGGAAAAGTAATAAACATTGATCTGCTGAATGTTTTTCTGTCTTGTGTCATCGCTGTTTATCTAACCCACTGGGACGGTTGAGGTCCCAGCTCACTGCACTGCTCTGATCTAGATGAGAGGAGGAGCATTGAAGATATAGATTTTTTTATGTGGCAAATGTCTCAGCGTTGACTGAAATACATCTCCAGGATAAGAGGAGTGATTTCATCATAGAAGCAAGATTTTAAAGCAGTGACAAAAGTATTCAGGAGCTGCTGTAGGGTTTGAATCCCCATCGAGTCTGGTTTATAAAAGAATAATTGACCTTGGTTTCCAGATTGACAAAGCCTTAAATGGGTACTAGATATTGTCCAGGGAAATGAAGCACTCAGCCTGATGTTGACCACATACCTACTGACCACATACCCACTGATCACATGCCCACTGACCACATACCCACTGACCACATACCGACTGACCTCATACCCACTGATCACATACCCACTGATCACATACCCACTGATCACATACCCACTGACCACATACCCACTGACCACATACCCACTGACCACATACCCACTGACCACATACCCACTGACCACATACCCACTGACCACATGCCCTCTGACCACATGCCCACTGACCACATACCCACTGACCACATACCCACTGACCACATACCCACTGACCACATACCAACTGACCTCATACCCACTGATCACATACCCACTGATCACATACCCACTGACCACATACCCACTGATCACATACCCACTAACCTCATACCTACTGATCACATACCCACTGATCACATACCCACTGATCACATATCCACTGATCACATACCCACTGATCACATACCCACTGATCACATACCCACTGACCACATACCCACTGACCACATACCCACTGACCACATACCCACTGACCACATACCCACTGATCACATACCCACTGACCACATACCCACTGATCAGACACCCACGGGCCTCATACCCACTGACCTCATACCCACTGACCTTGTACCCACTGACCACATACCCACTGACTACATACCCACTGACCTCATACCCCCTGACCACATACCCACTGACCACATAGCCACTGACCACATAGCCACTGACCACATAGCCACTGACCACATAGCCACTGACTACAAACCCAGTGACCACATAGCCATTGACCACATACCCACTAAGTGTCACTTTGTTCTAGCATCATATTTCCTATGCACGGCTGGTGTAAAAAGGGTCCATCACTCGAAGTGTTTACAAAATTGATCTACTTGTTTCCATTCAGACTGACATAGAGTAACCATAATATTTTGATCTGGAAAATGGGACAACCCAAGTGTCAGTTTAACTCCAACTCCTTTTCTTTTAGGTCATTGGTGTGAATAGGTTAATTACAGGCTCAACAATGGTGTTAAAACCTGAACAATTCCCCCAAGAAATAAGTAAAACAATATACTCTTTATCTGCAATGAAAAAAACAATGAGAATTCTTATAATACATCTAACATTCATGGGAGGCCAAGAATCCAGGGACCAGACCACCAAGGTGGCCCAGTTTGCTGGGGAGACATCATCTGACAGGTCCCTGACCGACAGAGAACTGGTGGGGAACAAAGCCAAACAGAAAACTGTAGACAGAGAAATCTGGCAATCTCTCTGGCAATACTCTACACTCCAGGGTAGACATGGAGCGACTGAAGTAAAGAACAAATGACATAAATAATGCCTAAAACTGTGAAATCTAGAGAGGTCTACTTGTACAAGTGTATTTTCTATTCACTAGGTTACTCCCAGATTTGTACAAATGGGGACAGCTGGTGATTCTATGAAGTAATGAGGGGATGGCCAGGACATAACTGAAAATGGCACATATGGTCACCCTATCCATGATGCGTCAGCTCTGTGGCTAAGTCGATGCCAACGCTTCGCTTGGTAATGCCGAGATGCCGGGTTCGATCCCAGTTGCAGGCAATGCGCCTTGCGCTGGTTTCGACAGTGGTATCAAGAAAGCCAAACGTCCAGAAAGCAGTGGCAAACTACTGGACGTAAATTTGCCAAGAGAAACCACACAACAGCCAGGGGCTGTTAGGGTTGGTTCTGCAACGTCCTGTAAAGGATACGCAACTAACTTTTTAACAATCCATGATGCACTATTTTTTGTCTCTGCAGATTTTCCATTACATCAGTCTTGCTATACTGAGCATCTTTCTTTTGGAAATATTCCTACGCCTCTATGTGATGCGATTGTCATTCTTCAAGCACAAACTGGAGATCTTTGATGCAACTATTGTCATAGTTTCATTCATCCTTGACATTGTGTTTAGAAACAGTGAGGATGCTTCCGTGGGTGTGGGGCTTCTCATCATTCTACGTTTGTGGCGAGTGGCCAGGCTTGTTAATGGTGAGTTATCACCATCATCATTAATTGTCACTTATTCCGTTAAATATCATGTTGAGGAACAGTTTGTGACTGATTGATGGGTAGCAATGGTTATTGTTGTTCCTTTTGGATGTAAAAGCTCTTTAATGTCATCAGTCCATCTTCTCCTAGGGTGACCTCTTGCTTTCACATCAGATCTTCCCAGGTCTAGCACCTGTTATGGTAGTTTCTGTATCTGCATTTTAATGAGATGACCAAACCAATTGATCTGTGTTCTCAGTGAGTCTGGTGCATGGTGATCTTCTCACAGACAGTCTGATAGTATCATTTTTGACTTTGTCTCAGATGGTTAAGTTGGTGGCTTTTCTCAGGCATTTCATTTCACCTGTGTTAATTTTACATAGGTTAGCCTTTGATAATGTCCATGTGTGGCATGCTGTTTATAACCTATTTCTTAGTGGTCTCACTTATGTTTGGATATCTTAATAATGGTGTCAATTGGAATGTAAGTGCACTGGCTCATTGGCATCTTTTTTCTATTCTCCAGTCTATTCATCCGTCATCCAAGAATATAGTTTCTAGATAATTAATTCTTTAACTTGCTTCAAATAAGTAACATTCAACACTCAATGCTATCAGGCTACTTGCTTCAAACAAAAACTATTCAACACTATGTAGCAGGCTACTTGCTTCAAACAAAAACTATTCAACACTATGTAGCAGGCTACTTGCTTCAAACAAGTACCATTCAACACTCTATGTAGCAGGCTACTTGCTTCAAACAAGTACCATTCAACACTCTATGTAGCAGGCTACTTGCTTCAAACAAAAACTATTCAACACTATGTATCAGGCTACTTGCTTCAAACAAGTACCATTCAACACTCTATGTAGCAGGCTACTTGCTTCAAACAAAAACCATTCAACACTATGTAGCAGGCTACTTGCTTCAAACAAAAACTATTCAACACTATGTATCAGGCTACTTGCTTCAAACAAGTACCATTCAACACTATGTAGCAGGCTACTTGCTTCAAACAAAAACTATTCAACACTATGTAGCAGGCTACTTGCTTCAAACAAGTACCATTCAACACTCAATGCTATCAGGCTACTTGCTTCAAACAAAAACTATTCAACACTCTACGTAGCAGGCTACTTGCTTCAAACAAAAACCATTCAACACTATGTAGCAGGCTACTTGCTTCAAACAAAAACCATTCAACACTATGTAGCAGGCTACTTGCTTCAAACAAAAACCATTCAACACTATGTAGCTGGCTACTTGCTTCAAACAAGCACCATTTAACACTCTATGTAGCAGGCTAGGAATTCTACTGACCTGGGTTATTAGTGCCAGTATTCAAAAAAATAACCTCAACTCAAGTCTTTGCATCTAAAACAATAACAAAATAGTGTAGAAAAGAAAAAGGAAAGGAACAAGAAGACAAAGGCGGATAACAAATTTGTTTGCAATGTTAAGTGTCAGATGGCTTGGAGAAAACTGTAATGGAAGGGGCAGTTTCTGTAAAACAAGGCAAAGACTGATCGCCGCAAAGGGGAATACAAGGCATTAAAGATACACCGGTTAAAAGGCACATAGGGTTGGAGAATTGGGCTAGAGGAAGAGAGACTTGAACTGCTCATTGATAATGATGATTGATTCTAAAAAAAATTTGTATATCTGTGTGTGTGCAAGTGCCTGTGTGTGTGCACATGTGCGTGAGTGTATGCACGCGTGTGTTTCTAAGGGATGTAAATAATTCATACTGTCTCATTTCTTTATTTCAGGGATAGTGATGTCCGTACAGAAACAAGCTAATAAGAAAATTGAAAAAGAAAAACATCGTGCTGAAGCATGTGAAAAGGAACTTATGATATATCAGGAATATTGCACTGCGACGGAAGAGGAAATAGAAAGATTACAAGAAATTCTCCGCCAGCACAACATTGAATTTGTCACCAAACATTTAAGCCGGCCGAGATGCAGCAGACAAACAGGCAGTGTGGCAAATGTCAGCTAACATGCTTATGTTTTACCATTGTGAATTTAAAAAAAAAAACTATATTCAGACAACATACAACTGGAACCTTAGGATATGCATTTCTTCTTCTGCTTTTGCCTTTAAAAGTGTGGTTGGCAGGTTTTATTGTAGTTAACAGCTAGGCTGTGATATTTGCACCTTACGGCTCAACACCTCCAGTTTCAAAAAAAGTAAAGGACCCTTTTCCACACCTTTAGGCGTATGGGGCTAGACCTATATTTTTATAGACCAATCGGCACAAGATGGTTGATGTGGTCAGCATCACGTTAGCCGCCTTTACTTTCCCGGGACTGCACCATTTACCCACTCAAAGCTGGGTCGACCTGGGAGCTAAGCTCATTTTTGAAAAAGTCTGGCTCCGCCAGGGACCGAACCCATGGACCGAACCCATGACCTTCTGATCCGCAGCAAGAGTCTAGCCGCTCTGCCACGGGGACTCCCCACCTCCAGTTTTAGCAAAACCTTAATTAGTTGGTTCTTACTGCATGCTTGTTAGGGGGACAGTGGGTCTATTCTTATGCATTCCAAAATAAGACCCCAGAACTCTCACAGGAAGGAAACAAATTTAATCCATTCAGTGACTGAGCTCCTACGGTCAATAATTCATATCCTGTAACTATTTTTCCAGTTAAAATTAATTTTAAATTAGTTTGATTTTTTTCCAGCCCTCCAGAAATACCCTTATTAGTTTCAAAAAAAAATTTTTTGTTTTTTGTTTCATTAAGGGGAAAATATGTGGCACTGCTTTTTGTTTTGCTTTTGCCAGCAGTGGAGATTAGAGTTACTTCCGACCATGATGCTACAGTCCATCAACATCAAGTTCCTTGTTGACCGCCTTCAGCAATGTTAACTTGACCTAATCTATTGAAAAGGTTATCAAGATGTTGTCAGATAATGCCAAGAATTCTCATCTTTGCAGCTCACATTCTGGATTTTGTCTCATATTATGGGGCAAAAAAAATTAAAACAATTGGAAAGCCTGACCTCGTATCATAAAAAAAACTCCAAGTACACCCATATACTGAGGTTCTAATTTATTGTCCCTCATGCATTGCTGTATCTCTTCAGGTGCATTGTTGGCATCTTTCTGTCTTTCCAAATGATCATGTTTCATTGTATGATAAGGAGGCGTAGGAGTGACAGACCATAGTGATACCTTCAAGAGGAAGTCGATAAGTATGTTACAAATGGTTATGGGATGGCAGGAAAATGTGGTTTCTAAAGGTGTCATTAGGTGACAGCAACATCGAACTTTATGTCCCCTTTTGTTAGATGGTGCTAGGTATAGAATTATTATTATTATTATTAGCACTTAAACCAGGCCCATGTCCATTGACCCCCCCCCCCCCCCCCTCCACCACCAACAGAATGGCAACTGTACTTACGGAGAGTAATTTCAAAAAACAGCAGGGAAGATTATGCTGGCAGTGTTCTAGAATTGTCAAAGAGCGCTTTTAACCAGTTTAAAAAAAAAGAGATGACAGTGTGGATGCTGATTCATACTATAAAGTTCTATCGATGCTTCTTGTTGCAGTTCCAGGAAAACATCCAGGCCTGCTGACTAGAGGAGTAACCATCTAAGGTGGGAACTTCTGGAACATCCACCTTACAGCCCCAACTTAGCCTCTAGCGATTTCCACCCTTTTGATCCACTGAAAACCCACCAGGGCAGAAGACATTTAGTAAATGACGCAGAAGTTGAATTTGAAGTGAAAATGTGGTTAAGAAAACAGAGCACACAGTTCTATGCAGTAGGTTTGGGAGGACTGATAAAATGATGGGACAAGTGCATCAAGGTTGGTGGAAATTATGTTGAAAAATAAAGGGACATGTATGTGTAAAAATTAGGGGTTTTCAAATTGTTATCGTCTTTAGTTTTGTTTACATTTTTTATTTAAACAACCATTTGTGACTTACTTATTGACTTCCCCTCATATTAATGTAAGAAGTTAAGCTCCTCCTCTCATCATCATCATCATCATCAGTTTCCACTTCTGCTGTTAAGTGTTGTGGGGAGGAACAGTTTGCGATCTATTGTTTCATGGGCAGCAATGGCTATTGTCATTCCATGTCGATGTAGAAGCTTTTTAATGTCATCAATCCATCTTCGCCTAGGACGGCCTCTTGTTTTCATTTCAGATCCTTTTATGTGTAGCGCTTGCATTGGTAGTTGTTCTGGCTGCATTCTTACTAAATGACCAAACCATTTAATCTTCTGTTTCTAAATGAATTTGCTGCATGGTGTTGTTCCTACAGTCTGATATCATTTCTAACTTTGTCTTGGATGGTTAAACTAGCAGCTTTTCTCAGGCCTCTCATTTCACAGGTGGTAATTTTATGTAGGTAAGTCTTTGATAATGTCTAAGTCTGTCATTGGTAAGTTCCTCCTCTGTATACCACAAAGTGTGAGCAGAACTGTTGCCCATGCACCATGATCACTCTCGCAGCCTGGCTTTTGTTTTTACTCCAAAGATAACACAAATATGTTCAGAATAAAACCTGTTGCAGAAGCTGTTGGATCAGAATGGCAGTGCTCTATCTGTTCACCTGTCAGAGCTTCCCACCTAGATCAGCTGCCTCGGCCTTGCTTTTTTTTTTTTTTACTTTGAAGAAAAAAAACAACACCAATATGTTTAGAACAAATAATATTGCAGAAACTGTTGGATCAGAACAGCAGAGCTCTGTTCGAACTAACACAGCTTTCCACCCAAACCAGCTGCCAAGCAAGGCTGGGGGCCGTAAAGTGCACTACTGCAAAGTTGACTGCTGCCAGTAACAAAGCGACACACTATAGAGAATGTTTTAGTCATGTGACATCTAACCTCAGTTTATTCACTTCACAGAATGTCTCCACAAAACTAATCAATCAAACAGAACACAAGGATGTTTGGTGGGTTGAATGATTGGCGTGTTGGTAGGTTACGGGATTGGTGGGTTAGATAGTTGTTGCGGGAGAGGGGGGGGGGGGAGTTAGGTAGAATCAAATTCCTAATAACTACTGTCTTGTCTTACAACTTGTTTTAGAACCACAGTCTTGTCTTACAGCTTGTTTTAGAACTACAGTGTTGTCTTACAGCTTGTTTTAGAACTACTGTGTTGTATTACAACTTGTTTTAGAACTAATGTGTTGTCTTACAACTTGTTTTAGAACTACTGTGTTGTCTTACAACTTGTTTTAGAACTAATGTGTTGTCTTACAACTTGTTTTAGAACTACTGTGTTGTCTTACAACTTGTTTTAGTACAAACTTTGTCTTTAGTGCCTGCATGTGTCACTGTTTAGGGCTGTCTAATGGGAGTGGTGGTCCTTGAGTCTTAGGATTTAGAGTTGCATGTCTAGTTCAGTCTGCTCAGGTTAGGATATGTTTTGGGGGTCCTGAGAGAAACAAATTCCATCCTTATCAGTGATTTTAGCCAGAGTCTAGCATCATATGCATTATTAGCTGCATTCCTCTATGTACATGCTTTTCATATTCTGTTGTTAACATTTTAATTAATTTTTTTCAGGTGTTCCCTTCTAGCAAAATCTCTTTTTTTCTAAACTAAAGTTTACAACCATTTTTATATTTTATCATAGAACAACCAGTAACATTATGAACATGTTCCACCAGTTGAATCTTTGGCAGATTTACTTTCCAGAATCTCATGATTTAGTTACCTTTTCTGGCTTTTATTTTAAAGTATCAAGAATATATTAGTGTGCTGAGTTGAATTTCACATGTTGATATGAAACTTCTTCGCATTTACCAGCTGTAAACTCTGGCTGAAAGTTCTAGTTGTTTATCCACTTCTGGACTGCAGTCCTGTTCCAGAACCTGAGTGTTGCGTATGCATCCGTTTTACAGATCTGACTCATTTTTCTGCAGACTGCTGGTTCCTTGCCTGTCAAGCAGATGCATTCCTACTTTGAAAGAAGCTCCCAATCAGTCGACTCTTACAACATGCTGTTGGGTAGGCAGTGGGTCTGTTCTCATATTCCCTATAACAGGGCCCCAGAACCCACACGGGGATAATTAAACTGACTTCGACTTGACGTACTTACGAAACTACCAGGTAACTTGCTTGCATACAGTCATGTTTTCAGTAAACTTTCTTTAAATTCACACTTGGACCATGCCACTTATGAGGGCATATTTGTAACTCTTGGAAAGTGAGAATACTTGAAAAAATGCAAGACAGTCTTCTCTCCAAATGGATTGTTACAGTACCCTGGTTTTTCCAAAGGAAAACTTCACTTCTTTTGTGCATTATTTTCTTACTTAGCTATTTTTTTAAATGTGTTTGTTTGTGTGTGTGTGTGTGTGTGTGTGTAAACCTGTTTCAGTCCAAGTCAGTAATTACTTTGAACATATCTGTTACATTGTTCTGCTTTAGAATATGCAGTGTATGGTTAACAGCATCTCCATCCCTGCTTTATGCTATCAGTGCCAAATATGGACAATGAATAGGGTATTAGAACAGAAGATAACTACAGTAGTACCTTAGTATAGGTACCTAATCATTGGATATATACTAAAAAGCACGTATACCAAACAGGACATATACCAAAAAGGACACATACCAAACGCACATACACCAAACAGTACGTATACAAAAACAAATTTTCCCATAAGAAATAAAGGGAGAATGATCCATCTGTTCCCATAGAAAGAGAAAAAAAAACTATTGTTGTCAGCATATTATACATTCAATAGAGTTGTATACAATAATTTAAACACAGCCTAATACTTAAATACATAAATAGAAGAGTAATTAGATGAAAATTTAACCTTACTTTACCTTCCTGAGAAGAGTCGAATAAGGGCCGGGAAGGTGTTGGGAATGAAGGAGGAGGAGAAGATGGATGAGAAGTTGGAGGAGGAGAAGATGGAGGAGGAGAGCATGGAGGAGGAGAAGATGGAGGAGGAGAAGATGGAGGAGGAGAGGATGGAGGAGGAGAAGATGCTGCAACATCCAGTGAAAAGTTGTTCTGGTTGTTCGTCTACTTCTGGCTAATTTGTTTGCATGTTATTAGTTTAAAACCTCTCAGGCAGATCAAGTGCAGATAGTGGCCTAGCTGTAAACCACAACACAGTTTGTCAACCATTTTTTTAAAGGGGAATACAGGAGGAGGAGAAGAAGAAAAGAAGAAGAAGAAGAAGAAGAAGAAGAAGAAGAAGAAGAAGAAGAAGAAGAAGAAGAAGAAGAAGAAGAAGAAGGAAGAAAAAGGAAGAAGAAGAAGAAGAAGAAGGAAGAAGAAGAAGAAGAAGAAGAAGAAGAAGAAGAAAAAGAAGAAGAAGAAGAAGAAGAAGGAGAAGAAGAAGAAAAAGAATAGAAGAAGGGAAGAAGAAGAAGAAGGAGGAGGAGAAAAAGAAGGAGAAGGAGGGCGAAGAGAAGAAGAAGAAGAAAGAAGAAGAAGAAGAAAAAGAAGAGGAGGAAGAAGAAGAAGAAGAAGGACAAGGAGAAGAAGGAGAAGAAGAAGGAGGACGAGGAGAAGAAGATAAAGAAGGATGAGGAGAAGAAGAACAAGAACAAGAACGAGGATGAGGAGGATGAGGAGGAGAAGAAGGAGGAGGAAGATGCACATTCTTCTCTTCTTCTTAGTGTTAACCAGCTGTAGACTAACATAATGTTCTGATTATTTGTCGACTTCTGGAGTTTGATTTCTTTTCCAGAACTACTGAGTTTTGCATGCACTCACACACACACACTCACACACACACAAATATATATGTTTGACATATCTTGTTTATTTGTGTGCAGACGGATGGTTCCTTGCCTCCCTGGCAGGAGGACCTTAAATTTGAAAGAAACTCCCTAATTAGTCAGCTTTTATGGCTTGTTTGTTGGAGGGCATTGAGTCTGACTTTGCTTCACCTGAAATAGGAGCTCAGAATCAGCACGGAAGCCATAATTTGAAAAAAATAACTGCCAATCCTTAAAATATGTCTTTCAAAGAATTTTTCTCTTCAAGTTTAATAGTAAATTTATTTTCAAGTTTAATATTTTTTGTTGAATTTTGATTTTTAAAATCTAAACAACATAAAAATCAAATGTCTAGACACATCCTAAGTAGAACAAGAAAAGGCAGGATCTGAAACCTTATAGGAAAAAAAATGATGTGTTAGTGCTAAACTACATCAAGAGGCAACAAATCTCAAATTTGGGCTTAAAGTGAAATGTAGAAACAAGGCGTTTGGAACAAAATCCATAATATTTATTTGTTTAGTTTATTTTGTTGGCGCAAGGCGTGGCTAAAATCTGGTAAGATGCAGATGCCTGTTTGGACACATCAAACATTTACAAGCGACGGCTCTAAAAGGTTTTGCTTTCTTTAAAAATGATTTATAAAGACAATAAAAGAAATCACCTTTGGTCAGCTTTCAAGAAGTTTTCAGTTTTGATATATCTGCCATGACTGTTTTACACACATCACCTCACCTCCAAAGTGTGCACCTGGCTCACACGAACAACAGTGTAATTTAAAATAGCAGGTCAAAAGTAAAGCTCTGAAATGCACCACTCTATTCGTGACCCATGCTGAAACAGACGCGAAGCAGGCGCTGATCGCTGAAAACAAAGCAGAAAAAGACTAAAAGAGTAAAGAACCATCATTCGGGGATCCCCATCTTCAGCAACCAGTATATAGTTCCAACACCATGGTACCCGTATCCGCTTGCTTACAAGTCCATCTTATATGTAAGTGAAGAGTATCAGCCAGGTCCCTTGGGTTACTCCCCGCAGCACTATTCTCTCTTTGTGCTTCCGCACTGTGTACGTGTTGCTAAAGGGCTATGACTATATCTAGATTGGCATGCATCAGTTCTCTATTCAGTGATGCAGAACCATTCAGTCTGTCTGACTGCCCATTTCCCAACACAATATCATTGTCTACATGAGGTATGAGTAATGAGGCAATAACCGATCTCATAGCACTCGGGGCATTCCATAAGTAAACGCAGAGTTCCAATTCCGATGGTGCAGGTGAGTTGGCAAAAGCCGGGAGTAATCTTCCACAACCTCATCCACCACACAGCTACAATTTTTAGACTTCGGACTGGACACTGTGGTCTTCGAGCACATCTGTACAGGATAGGCATAAAAGAATCTGCTGCCTGTGATTGTGGAGCAGAAAGACAGACCCCTGAGCACATACTGCAGTACTGCCCTTACCTCTCCCAGCAAAGACTGTGGATCTGGCCCAGGGGATCCACATTGCGAGAAAAGCTATGGGGGGCGGGGGGGGGGTGGCGACCTTAAACGCACAATCCTATTTTTGACCCAGACGGGGCTCCATGTTTAGCATGACTGATGCCGAACGCAGAAGAAGAAGAAGAAGAAGAAGATGCAGGTAAAAGTCTGTACCTCTGCATAGCCCTTCCCTTGAGTGTTGGCCAGATCCCTTGGTAACGCCCTGCAGTGCCATTCTCCTCAAACCTTGATGATCTCTTTATGTCCCCGCACTGTTTACTCCCAACGGACCCTTACAACGTCTAACTTGTCCTGCATCAGTTTACCACCTAGTGGTGCAGAATCAGCCTATCACTTTGCCTGTTCGTTTCCCAACACACCCACACACCGGGGAAGAAATATCCAAAAGCTAACTACGCTTGCTACTCTACACGGAGCATACATGTCTCCACATTTCTCAGGATGCAAGGTAAGTCTGTTACAATCACAACCTGTGTGTATAGCTAATTCTCAAGCCAGCTTTAGGCTACAGGACCGTATCCAACTCCATTATGAAACTAGATATCGTATTATACGCCATGCTTTTTCTTTTTTCTATGTCAATTCAACTTTTGCTATGATCCAAATGCACTTGGCTCTCCACACATAACAATACCAGGAGAAAAGCTCCAAGTAGTGCAAAGTACCGGAATCGTCTAAAGAGATGCTTGTCACTCAACAAAAACCATGCCTTTCTCCGCATTTCTGTGCTTGTTTTGTGAGTCTCTCTCAGTCACGACAAATGTGCTCAGTATTTTTGCTTACTAGTCGCTAAAGAATAAGCTTTTATCTGCTTGATCAACCTTCATTATGGAGACGACACCTGACTGAGTGATTGATCACGTTTGGCATATTCCCTTTTTGGCTGTTCGCGCCGACAACGACCGTGCTACATCCGGCAACGAGAACACTCCAATGAGAGGGGGACTTTCGAACATGGTGGTACATCCGGCAAGAGATCAGGCCAATGAAAAGGGAAACTTGTCGGACATGGTGGCCCAGAGTTGTTGTGTTTTGCCAGACAAGAACTTGTAGGATGTTAGTCGTCGCCCTCTACATTTTCACGTTAGTACAACCACCCTTGGCATGTGTATTTGAAGGAGAGGCTGCCCGATTGGAGCTTGAAATTTCTGCTTCTATGTCACTAATGTATTAATAATATCGTAGTTAGACGATAGAACATCGCCACTGTACAAGCAAGTGTATTTCGATTTACCATTCAGTCCTTAAGTGCTCAGATCTCCTCCTCAGTGAATCTCGCAGCGTGTTTCACCCTAAAACACCAGTCCTATGTTGGTATCTTATTTGTCTTCAGCTTCATACATAGCGCTTCTGTCTGACATCATCCCTTTTCACTTGCTACTCGTAGTCAGCCCATAGGTTACCATTCACAGCAGTCACTTTATTTTTGTGAACGTTTTAATGCTCGTAGAGCCTTCAGTGTACCAGCCTGATTCATTGCTGCCACCACCTCCACCTGCAAGGCTATCACTTCCCTTTACCGCCAGCCATGGCACGATCATGGCACTTGTCAATGCTAGCCGTGACTGCTTCAAGCGCCAGCTGCTGACTTCGGGACCCACTCCATCTTTATTGTCATTGGATTATGTATCTATTTGTCCATCCATCCATCCACCTATCCTTCCATCCATCCTTCCATCCATCCACACATCTATCCATGCGTCCATCCGTCCGTCCGACTGTCTGTCAGTCAGTCTGTCTGTCTATCCGTCCGTCTTTCTGTCTAAAAACAAAGTTCGTTCTGTCTGTCTACTGCTTGAAGTTTCACATAGCCACATGTAGCATAATAACTCATTGTCAACAACGGTAACGCTCCCGATGTCGGTAGAGAAATAAAATCAGGACAAACAGATGGGGACTGGAGCTAGGGATTGAAGTTAACAAGACAGGGAGAATATGCGCTGAGCTATGATTGAGTCACTGAGAAAACTGTGACGGTCTGTGCCTCTAGCCAGGTTATGGCCTTAATTACTTCTATGACCTCCATAGTCCGACTACTTGACGTCTCTAGCCAGGTTATTGTCCTAATTACTTCTATGACCTCCATAGTCCGACCACTTGAGGTCTCTAGCCAGGTTATTGCCTTAATTACTTCTATGACCTCCATAGTCCGACTACTTAACGTCTCTAGCCAGGTTATTGTCCTAATTATGTGACCTCCATAGTCCGACTACTTGAGGTCTCTAGCCAGGTTATTGTCCTAATTACTTCTATGACCTCCATAGTCCGACCACTTTGTGTAGTCCAGGCAAAGGCTATATATGCTGTTACATTTAGACATAATTTCTGCTTTGTTTCAAAGCGTTTCTTCTTCTTAACATTCCCTGGCTATACTAATTTTAGATTTTTTGTGGGTCCACTTCTTGACTTTATTCTTTACAGAGCCTGTTTATTTGTATGCAGACTATTGATCCCCTGCCTCTCAGTTAGGGAGGCAGTTGGTCATTTCTTGTCTCATCCCCCCCCCCCCCCCCCCCCCCCCCCCCCCCATTTTTTACAACGGGGCCTGGAACATATACAGTACATGGAGTGTGTGCTTTTAAATGTGTTAACGATAATTGCTTTTTTTTTTTTTTTTAAGGCGGCAGGATGCAAAAGCTGCATAGCCTTCATCATGGGTTTCATCAACTGATTGCTAGCGAGGAGTTCACCAGCGTTATGGACAATGAATTAGATGAAGACGAAACATTTCGAGAGAAACTGAGTCAGTTTCTCAACTCGAAAGGGACACTGGTAGGTGTCTCAGTGTTTGTCTGTTGTTGTTGCAGCTGTTCTTATTGTTGCTGCTTCAGGTAATAATGTCGCTGTTATTGTTCTTTAGCGTGTTGTTCTTTTTACTTCAGCTTTTGTTGCTGCTGTTCTTGTTGATGGCTGAAGCTGTTGTTGTTGCTGTCATTGCCTTGTTGTTGCTGCAAATGTTCTTGTTGTTGCTGCCATTGTTCTTGTTGTTGTTGTGGTCATGGCCATTGTCATTGCTGCTATTGTTTTTGTTGTCATGGCTATTGCCAATGCTGCTATTGTTGTTGTTATTTTTGTTGTTGTCATGGCTATTGCCAATGCTGCTATTGTTGTTGTTATTTTTGTTGTTGTCATGGCTATTGCCATTGCTGCCATTGTTGTTGTTATTTTTGTTGTTGTCATTGCTATTGCCAATGCTGCCATTGTTGCTGTTATTTTTGTTGTTGTCATGGCTATCGCCATTGCTGCTACTGTTGTTGCTGTTGTCATGGCTTCTATTGATCTTGACGTTGCTGTTGTTTTTTTTTTTTGTTATTGTTCTTGTTGCTTTCCTTGTTCTCGTTGTTGCTGCTTCCCTCGTTATTGTTGCTGCTTCCCTCGTTATTGTTGCTGCTTCCCTCGTTATTGTTGCTGCTTCCCTCGTTATTGTTGCTGCTTCCCTCGTTATTGTTGCTGCTTCCCTCGTTATTGTTGCTGCTTCCTTCTTTATGGTTGCTGCTGCTTCCCTCGTTATTGTTGCTGCTTCCCTCGTTATGGTTGCTGCTGCTTCCCTCGTTATGGTTGTTGCTGCTTCCCTCGTTATGGTTGTTGCTGCTTCCCTCGTTATGGTTGTTGCTGCTTCCCTCGTTATGGTTGTTGCTTCCCTCGTTATGGTTGTTGCTTCCCTCGTTATGGTTGTTGCTTGCCTCGTTATGGTTGTTGCTTCCCTCGTTATGGTTGTTGCTTCCCTCGTTATGGTTGTTGCTTGCCTCGTTATGGTTGTTGCTTCCCTCGTTATGGTTGTTGTTTCCCTCGTTATGGTTGTTGCTTCCCTCGTTATGGTTGTTGCTTCCCTCGTTATGGTTGTTGCTTCCCTCGTTATGGTTGTTGCTTCTCTCGTTATGGTTGTTGCTTCCCTCGTTATGTTTGTTGCTTCCCTCGTTATGGTTGTTGCTGCTTCCCTCGTTATGGTTGTTGCTTCCCTCGTTATGGTTGCTTGCTTATGGTCGTTATTCCCTCGTTATGGTTGCTTCCCTCGTTATGGTTGTTGTTTCCCTCGTTATGGTTGTTGCTTCCCTCGTTATGGTTGTTGCTTCCCTCGTTATGGTTGTTGCTTCCCTCGTTATGGTTGTTGCTTCCCTCGTTATGGTTGTTGCTTCCCTCGTTATGGTTGTTGCTTCCCTCGTTATGGTTGTTGCTTCCCTCGTTATGGTTGTTGCTTCCCTCGTTATGGTTGTTGCTTCCCTCGTTATGGTTGTTGCTTCCTCGTTATGGTTGTTGCTTCCCTCGTTATGGTTGTTGCTTCCCTCGTTATGGTTGTTGCTTCCCTCGTTATGGTTGTTGCTTCCCTCGTTATGGTTGTTGCTTCCCTCGTTATGGTTGTTGCGTTATGGTTGTGCTTCCCTCGTTATGGTTGTTGCTTCCCTCGTTATGGTTGTTGCTTCCCTCGTTATGGTTGTTGCTGCTTCCCTCGTTATGGTTGTTGCTTCCCTCGTTATGGTTGTTGCTTCCCTCGTTATGGTTGTTGCTTCCCTCGTTATGGTTGTTGCTTCCCTCGTTATGGTTGTTGCTTCCCTCGTTATGGTTGTTGCTTCCCTCGTTATGGTTGTTGCTTCCCTCGTTATGGTTGTTGCTTCCCTCGTTATGGTTGTTGCTTCCCTCGTTATGGTTGTTGCTGCTTCCCTCGTTATGGTTGTTGCTTCCTCGTTAGGTTGTTGCTTCCTCGTTATGTTGTTGCTTCCCTCGTTATGGTTGTTGCTTCCCTCGTTATGGTTGTTGCTGCTTCCCTCGTTATGGTTGTTGCTTCCCTCGTTATGGTTGTTGCTTCCCTCGTTATGGTTGTTGCTTCCCTCGTTATGGTTGTTGCTTCCCTCGTTATGGTTGTTGCTTCCCTCGTTATGGTTGTTGCTTCAAGATTGAAGAAAGCAAAGTTCATGCTGATCACACCAGGAGTTTGTGTATAAGAAATATGAGAAGAAGAAGGAGGAGGGAGAGGAGGAGGGAGAAGAGAGGAGGAGGATGAAGAAGAAGAAGGAGAAGAAGAAGAAGAAGAAGAAGAAGAAGAAGAAGAAGAAGAAGAAGAAGAAGAAGAAGAAGAAGAAGAAGAAGAAGAAGAAGAAGAAGAAGAAGAAGAAGATGATGAAGAAGAAGAAGAAATTAAGAAGAAGAAGAAGAAGAAGAAGAAGAAGAAGAAGAAGAAGAAGAAGAAGAAGAAGAAGAAGAAGAAGAAGAAGAAGAAGATGAAGAAGTAAAAGAAGAAGATGTAGAAGAAGAAGAAGAAACTGATGATGATGATGATGACGACGACGACGATGATGATGATGATGACGACGACGACGACGACGATGATGGTGATGATGATGATGATGATGATGATGATGATGATGATGATGATGATGATGATGATGATGATGATGATGATGATGATGAAGAAAAAGAAGAAATTGAAGAAAAAGAGATACGAACGAACAAACGGACTTTTTTTTTTCTTTATACTGGAGAATAAGATCTTAAAAGATCTGAACATCAAGGAAGCTGAATAGATTGGAAGAATTATTAGCAGAAGGCATAGTACCAGGAACGAACGAACGAACGAACTTTATTTTCAAAGGGTTACAAATTAGGAACGCAGGCCCGTGTTGCATTCGGCCCTTCCAAACTCCCATCTTTCACACAGCAGTTGTATGTCATCAATCAAGAATGTAATGTTCATGTAATAATATGTATATTATGAATATCAAGTCAAAAACAAAAGCATGGGTGGTAAAATATGTGCGCTCGCTTGCGCGCGAACACACACACCCACATACACACGCAAACCCATTCACTCACTTACACACACACACACACACACACACACACACACACACACACACACACAGGCACCCAATACACACATACATCCACATACATATGAACACGCACACACACATACATACACACCCATACACACATACATACACACATGCATACATACATACACACAGTCATCCACACAGAAACACGTTCTAAAACACATGCATACAACCCAGACACACACAACTATATACACACACGCATACATACACACTCGTAGCCGCACAAAAAGACCCATACAAACACACACACCGACGCACACATTCATAAACCCACACAGACACACATGCAGTCACAGGTACACACAAACACATACACACACGCAGGCAGACATACACATAGACATACGCAACACTCACGCATACACAAATACACATACAGACACGCACATAGCCACACACGCACACAGAAATACACGCAGACGCAAAAACCGACACAAACAGAGACACGCAGACATTAAATAATAGACTCACCGATAGACACACACAAAGCCACACACACAGACACTCACAGCCACAGACAGACACACAGCCACACAGACAGATACATAATGACACACACACATACATACAAATACACTCACAGATGCACAAACACTCACATATACACACACGCGCAGACGCACACACATTATCAAAAAGACACACACACAGATACTCCCGAAGCTTCACACACAGAGACACACGAAGACATTATATAAAAGACACACCAATAGAGACTCACACAGATACACACAAAGCCACACACAGACACGCACAGCCACAGACAGACACAGATACACATGCAGCCTCACACACAGACACACCTACAGAGACATACACACACATATACTAACACACAGACGCACAAATACTAGCACAGACACACACACGCAGACGCACACACACACACACACACACACACACACACACACACACACACACGAACACATCAAAAAGAGGAACACACAAATACACACGAAGCAACACACAGCCACAGACACACGCAGGCATAGACACACAGACACACGCAGAAACAGCTACAGGCACAACATAGATACACATAAACAGACAGAAAACACACACACACACACAGACAAACACGCAGCCACACCCACACATAGACACATAAAAACACACACATATAGACACACACCCACAGAAACACACGAAGCAACACATATAGATACACATACAAAAACACATACAAAAACACACACACATCCACAGACACACAAAACAGACTGACACGCACACAAACACGCACAGACATGCTTACAGACACACATACTTGAGCACATAAAAACACGCATATAGACGAACCAGGACAGCGACACGAACACAGACACACACGCGGACATCATACAGACTGACACACAGAAACACACACAGACACACGCCCACACACAGAGACATACACTTACACACATACAGACCCACAAAGACATACACACAAACTTATTCAGTTACCCATACATACACTCATACGTTCACAGAATCATACATACACAAACACGCCTATACACTCATGCATGACACATATATACGCATTCATACATATCATACACACTGAAATTTATTATAAACTAGTAATGCATTGTGGATTATTAACTACATTTAAGGAGGCATATAATCACTGGTAATCGTGAAATGAAAGAGTTTGCGGTTATAGTTTTAAGATCGAGGGAAAAATGGTTCCATAAATGAGCAGCAGAATATGCTAAACTTGTTTTAAATAAATCAATTCTGGGTTTAGGCAAATGTAATTAACTTAGTCGCTTGCTATTCTTAGGATTAGATTGAGTCAATCGGGTCGGGGTAATTTGGAGTATCTCTAGACAGGATTTTATGAATGAATTTGGCCTTGTTAAAAATTAAACGTTTACCTAATGGCAGAAGTCTTAGATGTCCGTATAAAAGATTTTTCTCGATGTAGTTTTTAATCAGAAACTAGGGGTAAGGCCCTATTTTGTAGAGAACTCAACCGTTTGATATTAGATTTGGAGCAGCCATCCCAACTGTGGAACAATAGTCAATATGCGTTTGAATATAGGATACGTAAAATATTTTACCTGTATTTTTGTCCAGAAAGTGCTGAATTTTTCCAAGTTGATATATCTTTTGTGCTACTTTTTTGGTCATGGCATGAACATGGGAACTCCAAGTTAGATGGCTGTCAATTAAAACACCTAATGTATTGTTTTCAGCTACATTAACAATAGGTAGCTTATCAATGAAGAGCTCAAGCGGTGGCTTGTGTAAAGCTAATGTTTGTAGCTTTTGCCTAGTTGTTATCACCATGGATTTAGTTTTATTTATGTTAATTTTCATGCGATTATCATTGCCCCATTTTATAAGTTTATCTGTTTCTTTCTGTGAAGAACGTCAGCAAACAGATCACATGTTATACTGAGATGTAACGGAAGGTCATTAATATAAGTAGCAAACAGTAGTGGACCCAATTTTGAACCCTGAGGAACGCCTATATTTAACTTTGTGGGTTTTGAATAACGGTGACTGAGGGAGACTACCTGCTGCCTATCAGACAAAATTGACTTTATTAATGTCACTAAATTATCGTTAGTTTTTAAGGTCTTTAGTTTACTAATTAAAATATTGTGATCAACCATGTCAAAGGCTTTCCTATAGTCAACAAATACCGCACCGCAAATGTTGCCATTGTTGATGTTAAGGTGCCAATTGTCTGTCATTTTTGTCAGCGCAGTTTGACAAGAGTGTTTAGGTCTGAACCCTGACTGGCTATCGACTATTATACTGTTGTTATTTAAATGTTGAAACATTATTTTATGTATGTGTTTCTCTAATGGTTTATATAGTGGAGATAGTAGAGAAATGGGTTTATGGTTGCCTAGAGAATTGTTGTCAGCTGAACCAGATTTAAGCAGAGGATAAACCTTAGCAATTTTAAATGCTGATAGAAAGTAGTTCTTGGCAAGGCACTGATTATATATATAAACGTTAAGGAATCACTAACGACTGGTGCAGCACATCGAAGGATTCGATTACTGATTCCATCCAAGCCAGAGGAGTTTGTTTGCTTAAAGTTGATGATATAATTATAGACTTCAGCAACAGACATAAGGGGAATCTCAGAAGGGTTAGTCGTATTGCATTTTACCTCACAGAATGATGCTAGTAAGCTTAAGTCACACTGTGAGTCTGGTATTGTGGACTTTAAATTCTCTATTTCTGATCTGAAAAACAATTAAAATTATCACACGTTAGATAATTTGGCTTTGATTGATCTGAAGAATGCTTATTGGTTAGGATTTTGATAGCCCTCCATATGTCTGCATTATTTGTTTCATCTGTAATCAGTTTTTAAAAAATGATCTTTTTTATTTTTACGAATTAAATATTTTTCCTTATTTCTCAGTTTACAGAAAAGAAATCATGTTTGTTATTCTTGTGTGCTGTATCTCTCTCATACTTTCGAGAACTTCGCTAGTAATCCATAGTGATTTCGTTTGATGTTTTACTCTAAGATCTTTAATTGGCACATGTTTATCAAACACACTTTATACTGTTTTCGTCCAATAGGCAATAGCATCGTTCGGTTCAGGAAGCTGACAAACATGGTCTATTTGTGCGTTTCTAGTAAAAATGAGTCAGGATTAAAAGTTTTTAAATGTCTAAATTTAACTGCGATATGTTTATCTTTAGGGGTTTTAAAACCAATTTTCGCTCATTCACAGCATATGGGATAATGAACGCTAAAAGCCATAGCGGGGACGGAACATTCAATAATATTTTTTGTGTGAGAGAATAGATATGATCAATTAGTGTTGAGAATGTTTCTGTAACTCTAGTAGGAGAGTTAATTAACTGTTTGAGGTTATGTGAAAGAATGATATCTTCCCATGTTTGGTTGAATTTATTTGTGTCAATGTTAAAATCGCCAAGAAGAATAATTTCTTTCCCTACACTAAAAACTGTGTCAATCATAGAAGTAAAGTCGTCATACCAGTTGTTGTCTTCACTAGGATTTCGATACAGATAGCCAATGAAAAGTGATTGCTGGTTTAACGGCTTAACCTCCAGCCAGACACAATCAATATTTTCACATTCTAAATTAAATTTACGAGAATATCTGAGATAATTCGAAATATAAACTGCTATGCCTATCTCTAATTTTCTTATTGTATCTTTGCGAATTACTGTAAAACCGCCAATGGTTATTTCGTTGTCACTAATTTCTGTAATTCCAAAAACGTGAAATTGGTTACTGGGCTTAATTTATAGCTCTGGCAGTTTGCCGAGTAAATGAAAAATTTTTAGATGACCTATTCAGAGGCTATCTTTTTCAAGCCGACTATTCAACATAATGATTTTGAACTGGAGGATATTGTTAGTGCGGTTTTAAAACTATACTCACTAGTAAGTAGTATGATTAGGCAGGTTATGGTAGCGGGAAGGAAGGAGTGGCAGGGGTAGACCAACACGAAGATGGGCATAGGATATAAATGACTCCTTGAGTATAAAAGTACATAAGGTGGGAGAGCTAGCGAGAGACCGAGTTTCTTTCAGGCAGACCGTTACGAGAGCGACGTTCTGCAAAGGACCTGCAACATGATGATGATAGAGAATAAAAAGACACAGAGGAGGAAGAAGATGAAGAGAAGTAACAGATAAACAACAAAAAAGATCGGCAACAACAGTTACCAATACCCACACGACAACTAGTAATAACCAAACACAAAAAGTTGTCAGCAGCTTGGACCGCCGCCATTACTAACACCAACAAGATCGGTGTCTGCAGTTTCTGATCAGCGTCCTCATCATCCTTGACTGTGTTGTTGTGGTCTTGATCCTGATGCTGGAGCTGGAGGTCCTGTATGTTGGCAAGGGCTACCAATTCCTCCATAGCGTAAGTAACTTGCTGGCCAGCTGTTTGTCTTTAGATGTTAGGGGAAACTTTCAGGCGTGTAAAGCTCTGCATTGTCTTCATCTTCTTCTTCTTCTTCTTCTTCTTCTTCTTCTTCTTCTTCTTCTTCTTCTTCTTCTTCTTCTTCTTCTTCTTCTTCTTCTTCTTCTTCTTCTTCTTCTTCTTCTTCTTCTTCTTCTTCTTCTTCTTCTTCTTCTTCTTCTTCTTTTCTTCTTCTTCTTCTTCTTCTTCTTTCTTCTTCTTCTTCTTCTTCTTCTTCTTCTTCTTCTTCTTCTTCTTCTTCTTCTTCTTCTTCTTCTTCTTCTTCTTCTTCTTCTTCTCTTCTTCTTCTTCTTCTTCTTCTTCTTCTTCTTCTTCTTCTTCTTCTTCTTCTTCTCTTCTTCTTCTTCTTCTTCTTCTTCTTCTTCTTCTTCTTCTTCTTCTTCTTCTTCTTCTTCTTCTTCTTCTTCTTCTTCTTCTTCTTCTTCTTCTTCTTCTTCTTCTTCTTCTTCTCTTCTTCTTCTTCTTCTTCTTCTTCTTCTTCTTCTTCTTCTTCTTCTTCTTCTTCTTCTTCTTCTTCTTCTTCTTCTTCTTCTTCTTTCTTCTTCTTCTTCTTCTTCTTCTTCTTCTTCTTCTTCTTCTTCTTCTTCTTCTTCTCTTCTTCTTCTTCTTCTTCTTCTTCTTCTTCTTCTTCTTCTTCTTCTTCTTCTTCTTCTTCTTCTTCTTCTTCTTCTTCTTCTTCTTCTTCTTCTTCTTCTTCTTCTTCTTCTTCTTCTTCTTCTCTTCTTCTTCTTCTTCTTCTTCTTCTTCTTCTTCTTCTTCTTCTTCTTCTTCTTCTTCTTCTTCTTCTTCTTCTTCTTTCTTCTTCTTCTTTCTTCTTCTTCTTCTTCTTCTTCTTCTTCTTCTTCTTCTTCTTCTTCTTCTTCTTCTTCTTCTTCTTTCTTCTTTCTTCTTCTTCTTCTTCTTCTTCTTCTTCTTCTTCTTCTTCTTCTTCTTCTTCTTCTTCTTCTTCTTCTTCTTCTTCTTTCTTCTTCTTCTTCTTCTTCTTCTTCTTTCTTCTTCTTCTTCTTCTTTCTTCTTCTTCTTCTTCTTCTTCTTCTTCTTCTTCTTCTTCTTCTTCTTCTTCTTCTTCTTCTTCTTCTTCTTCTTCTTCTTCTTCTTCTTCTTCTTCTTCTTCTTCTTCTTCTTCTTCTTTCTTCTTCTTCTTCTTCTTCTTCTTCTTCTTCTTCTTCTTCTTCTTCTTCTTCTTCTTCTTCTTCTTCTTCTTCTTCTTCTTCTTCTTCTTCTTCTTCTTCTTCTTCTTCTTCTTCTTCTTCTTCTTCTTCTTCTTCTTCTTCTCTTCTTCTCTTCTTCTTCTTCTTCTTCTTCTTCTTCTTCTTCTTTCTTCTTCTTCTTCTTTCTTCTTCTTCTTCTTCTTCTTCTTCTTCTTCTTCTTCTTCTTCTTCTTCTTCTTCTTCTTCTTCTTCTTCTTCTTCTTCTTCTTCTTCTTCTTCTTCTTCTTCTTCTTCTTCTTCTTCTTCTTCTTCTTCTTCTTCTTCTTCTTCTTCTTCTTCTTCTTCTTCTTCTTCTTCTTCTTCTTCTTCTTCTTCTTCTTCTTCTTCTTCTTCTTCTTCTTCTTCTTCTTCTTCTTCTTCTTCTTCTTCTTCTTCTTCTTCTTCTTCTTCTTCTTCTTCTTCTTCTTCTTCTTCTTTCTTCTTCTTCTTCTTCTTCTTCTTCTTCTTCTTCTTCTTCTTTCTTCTTCTTCTTCTTCTTCTTCTTCTTCTTCTTCTTCTTCTTCTTCTTCTCTTCTTCTTCTTCTTCGTTCTTCGTCCTCCTCCATTGTAGTCGTTCTTCTTCAGTAATTTGTCATTGCTTACTGAATGCCACGGTCCTGTGCGATACTGTGGAAATTAGCGCCTGGCGATCTGTAGAAGTCAATGCAGACCAAAACACACTGAGAAGGCAGCTAGAGTGCGAAGCCAAACAGGCAAGACATGATGATGTCAGCTGCATCTGATGGCTATGGAAATGACGGCAAGGTTGAGTTAATTGAGGGCCCATTCTCCACTAGGGGATAAAGAACAGAAGAAGAAAAGAGCCCTCCCCGATTTAACGGTTGGACATCAGGCACCCGGAAAGGTGAGCATGTTGCTTCAGGTGTGCCGGAACTTGGGATGTACCCTACTAAATGTGTCCGTGATAGAGACAAACCCTTACAGAGAGCGAAACCAGATCAGCTCTGGGAAATTGCTTAGATAGCTGCGACAGAGGCGGACGAGAAGGATCCAGCATTAAAACGAAAAGTGCCATTATTACAGAGTAGCCAGTGCTGGGGTTAATCATAAGCTAAAAAACCTACCGATTAGGGCCGCGCAATGTGCAGGGCCTCATAACATTCCGATTTGTAATCCAGCAGAGTTTTTAATGGCATAACACATTTTTATTAAATTTAAAAAAAAAAAATTTTTTGCATTTATAAAATCAAGATTTAAAATGTTTTAAGTTGCAACTTTAAACCTTTTAGAACAATGGTTCTCAAACTTCCCAATGCCGCGACCCTTTAATACAGCTCCTTTTGTTGTGGCGACAGTAGTATAAGAATCAAGTTGAGCGCGCATTTACATCAGGGGACTTAGCAGCCTCCCTATTTATCCTTAGTAAAAGATGGCGGCCATCTGACGTCACAAGTGATTGGTTTTTCCAGGAGGGTGTGAAACACTCCGTCTTTATCCTTAGTAAATACCGATCGGGAGGGTGATTGGTTTTCCGGGAGGGTGAAGATATATGGTGTATAAATCGATACTTTGCATTGTCTCCGTAGCAACAAGTGACTCCATCGGCCAGATAAGTCTCCGCCACTTTGTCACAAATGTTTTCCGCACTAAAGAAATAATATTGATCCTTAAATAATATCAATCCTCTAAGAAAACGTCTACAAACGACACCCCGATGAGTCACTCATCACTTTGGAGACAATGCAAGGTATCGATTTATACAGCATATATCTTCACCTTCCCAGAAAACCAATCACTCGTGACGTCAGATGGACAGATAAAAAGAGTAATGAAGACGTGTTGAAAGAAACTGACTCACAAAGAGAACTGACTGCCCACATTAGAAGGATACAATCAATATTATTTGGTGATGTGATGAGAATTAGAAAAGGGAGTACATCGTTACGGTGGGACAGTTGGAGATGAGGAGAGGCAGAGGGAGACCGAGAGAACAGATGCTGGACAGTCTGATATAACGGCATAGAAGATCATCCATGCCAGAGTTGACTGAAAATACACGAGACGGAAGGTTGTGAATAGACATGACTACCAACGCCACACGGCATGAACATTAGGAAAAAAGAAACCTCAATTTACTTTGAAGAAAACAGGCAAGGTCACGGGTAGTGGGCATACTTTAGATCTTTTCTCAAGACCATGCCGGCGTGGTGGGCAATGAAAAGACGGACTGGCTGGATCTGCACCGCTGGGGGGGGGGGGGGTGATTTGATGATGACAAGGCAGATGTGGTCAGAGCCCTTTTGGGAACAAGTAACGAGGTCAAAAAAAGAAACTAGACTATAATGGGGTGAAGAGAATGATGCAGAGGGTTCGGCCGGCACACTACGCTCAGAGGCAGGGCAAGACGGACATACAACTAGACAACGACTGGCACCATTAGTATTGGAACTCTGCGTTGACTGCTGAGGATGAGGACGGAGCCCGCTTAGGGATGCTTCAGTGCTGTGATGTCAGTTCTTGACTCAACTCAATAGATTGCAACTATAACAGAAAGGTGTTAAACGCATGCTGAATGCGATCAAGATTTTTGTTTCCTGAAAAAGTTATTTTACTAGTTATTGTTAGTGTTTGGGGGCAGCCATGGTGTAGTGGCTAGACGCTCACCTTCGAATCGGAAGGTCGTGGGTTCAGATCCTGGCGGAACCAGACTTTTTTTTTCAATTCTAAAATGACCAAAACTCAGAAGTTGACCCAACCTCAAAATGGTGCCAGGTAAAGTCCTTGGGAGTAAAGGTGGCCGGTATGGCGTGGACGGTATCACAGACCAAGTGCCGATTAGTCTATACAATTTAGGTCTAGCCATATATGGCCAATACGCTGGAAGTCGTGAAAAAATGTCCTTTGTTTTTGTATTACTATTTTCTATTACAAACATGCCACTCGGTTTATGGCTCGCACATTAGGAGAAGAACTCTAGCCGCATGCTTACGACACTCGTGCAAACACTATAGTAAGAGATCAAAACTACCAGCTACTAATACTACAACGCCAGCTTCAAACGAATCTTGTCAACAGCAAAGCGACGAAGAGAAAAATCTCGCGTGACACCTTCTCCAGTGTAATCGTTTCCTGCTAACAGTCGTGACCAACGCTTCTCATCTGCAGTTGCTGCATCACATGAGCCTGAGTATCCTCGCTATCTTTGCCATTGAGATCCTCTTCCGCATTTACGCCAGAGGCTTGTATTTCTTCAAAAGCGTTTTGGAAGTGACCGACGCCCTTGTCATCTACATCTCTTTAATCATGGACGTGGTGTTTACATTTTACGGAAGCAATACTTTATCTGCCGGGGTTAAGGTTGTCATTGTGCTTCGCTTTTGGCGAATCACAAGAATAATTAACGGTGCGTTGTTTGTCTGTCTTGTTTGTTTGTCTGTTTTGTTTGTTTCTTTGCTGGTTTTATTTCTTTGCTTGTTTGTTTCTTTGCTTGTCTGTTTCTTTGCTTGTTTGTTTCTTTGCTTGTTTGTTTCTCTGTCTTGTTTGTTTCTTTGCTTGTTTGTTTCTCTGTCTTGTTTGTTTCTTTGCTTGTTTGTTTCTCTGTCTTGTTTGTTTCTTTGCTTGTTTGTTTCTCTGTCTTGTTTGTTTCTTTGCTTGTTTTCTTTTCCTGTCTTGTTTGTTTCTTTGCTTGTTTGGTTCTTTGCTTGTTTGTTTCTTTGCTTGTTTGTTTCTTCGCTTGTTTTTTTTTTTTTTTTTTGTGGCTCGTTTGTTTCTTTGCTTGTTTTGTTTCAGGGATACGGGGATTTGCGGACTTAAGCATCTTGAAAAGATACAAAACAGAAACGAAAAACATACCAACGAGCTCGCAATGTAACAAAACACAAAAGGAAAATGAACGCTGCGACTACAGAGCCTTCCTCAGCATATTACATGAATCAACCAAACCACATGTACAGACACGAATGCACAAAAATTACTTATGTGTGTGTGCGTGAGTGTGTTTGCATGCGTGCGATAAAAAGACAGGAGAACTTGGTGACAACCTGCAATATTGGTAGAAAAAGGACGGGAGGAAGAAGCAAAGTGATAAATAGTTTGATGACTTAACTTCCATGCCTAGGGAGGAAAGAAAGCACCACCCGATCCGTAGTTGGGCTGACTGTTTAGGGTGGCGTATGATGACCGCCCAGGGTTTTCGGTGTGGGGCGCTGGGCGATTTTTGTCCCTACTGTAATCTAGGGGAGAGGGTGGGGTGGGGCGGGGGGGGGGGGGGAGACCGACAAAGTTTAAGAAACACTAGTTTAAATCATCCAGGTATTATTTATCTCTCTCCCCCCCCCCCACATTTTTCATGTATTGAGCGGGGGGGGGGGGGATTTTTTTTCAGTCGTGATAGTTGTCAAAATTGTTCGAGATACACACACACACACACTAAACACACACACACACACACACACACACACACACACACCTGTGTAATCTAGTTTACAAAATCTGAAGTGAGCGCCACCGGCCCCCCCCCCCCCCCCCCCCCTCAGGAAGAAGAAGAGTTTTGTTTGCCTGGCGGTACACAACAGTGCGCAGTTCTGGTACATTTATAATGCATCATTGTTGTTCAGCGGTACTGTAATAGGTACTTTGTAGTCTTCTTCTTCTTCTTCTTTTTCTTCTTCTTCGTCTTCTTCTTCTTCTTCTTCTTCTTCTTCTTCTTCTTCTTCTTCTTCTTCTTCTTCTTCTTCTTCTTCTTCTTCTTCTTCTTCTTCTTCCTCTTCTTCTTCTTTTTCTTCTTCTTCTTCTTCTTCTTCTTCTTCTTCTTCTTCTTCTTCTTCTTCTTCTTCTTCTTCTTCTTCTTCTTTTTCTTCTTCTTCTGTTTCTTCTTCTTCTTCTTCTTCTTCTTCTTCTTCTTCTTCTTCTTCTTCTTCTTCTTCTTCTTCTTCTTCTTCTTCTTCTTCTTCTTCTTCTTCTTCTTCTTCTTGTCTTCTTCTTAGCGTTCACTGACTTTGAACACGGGCATAAAGTTCTGGTTGTTCGTTCACTTCTGGATTTTTAGTTTTGTTCCAGAACTTGAGTTTTGCTTCTATATCACAGTCTACCTACCTGGCTGATTTAAATGTAGACTTTTGGTTATTTGCCTCTGAGGCAGACGCACTCCGACCTCGAAGGAAGCACCGCTAATAAGTCGACTTTTACAAGTTTATAAGAATGCAGTGGATCTCCCCACCCCCAGGCAACTTACAATGGACCCCATAACCCTGGGTGCCCCGCCTTTTTTTTACCTAGAAAGTTGTTCATTGTTCATTTAAAGATCGTCCTAATCAAAAATGAACCATAAGTGGCCATATTTCCTCTTGAGTATGTCTCCAAATGTTTTTTTTTTTTTTTTAGGCTAACAGCTCCCATTCTGTTTTGGTAGATGCCAAGGTGGCAACTACAGACTTAACACCCACATTGTAATTGTCTTGCAGGTGTGCTGTTGAACGTGATAGCTGATATCAAAGTACTTGTAGAAGTGGAGAAGAGCAACACCGAGTCTTTTTACGAGGAACTGTTAAGATACAAACTCTACTGTGCTCAGCAAAAGGACGAAATTGAAAGACTCCAGTCCATTCTGGTTGCAAACAAAAACAATTCATCCTGAAACATGAGAGTTTAACTCCAATGCATGTGTTGACTGTCAGAATAAAGATGTAGACCTGATATACGGACCTTTCTTTCATACTTTGGTTTTGTATACTAGATAAAACTCTGGGTTCCAACGGTAGGTGAGGGTTCGATTCTTCTAAACCAATAGCGAAAGGTATATGTCTATTTTTTCTTTTAAGGTCTCACTGATACCAGGTTGGCGCCCAGTGTCATGGTTTTGTCGTCTCACTGATACCAGGTCGTAGCCCAGTGTCGTGGTTTTGTCCTCTCACTGATACCAGGTCGTAGCCCAGTGTCGTGGTTTTGTCGTCTCATTGATACCAGGTCGTAGCCCAGTGTCGTGGTTTTGTCGTCTCACTGATACCAGGTCGTAGCCCAGTGTCGTGGTTTTGTCGTCTCATTGATACCAGGTCGTAGCCCAGTGTCGTGGTTTTGTCGTCTCATTTATACCATGACGTAGCCCAGTGTCGTGGTTTTGTCGTCTCATTGATACCAGGTTGTAGCCTAGTATCGTGGTTTTGTCGTCTCACTGATACCAGGTTGTCACCCAGTGTCATGGTTTTGTCGTCTCACTGATAACAGGTTGTAGCTTAGTGTCGTGGTTTTGTCGTCTCACCGATACCAGGTTGTCACCCAGTGTCGTGGTTTTGTCGTCTGACTGATACCAGGTTGTAGCCCTGTGTCATGGTTTTGTCGTCTCACTGATACTAGGTTGTAGCCCAGTGTCATGGTTTTGTCGTCTCACTGATACAAGGTTGTAGCCCAGTGTCATGGTTTTGTCGTCTCACTGATACCAGGTTGTAGCCCAGTGTCATGGTTTTGTCGTCTCACTGATACCAGGTTGTAGCCCAGTGTCGTGGTTTTGTCGTCTCACTGATATCAGGTTGTAGCCCAGTGTCGTGGTTTTGTCGTCTCACTGATACCAGGTTGTAGCCTAGTGTCGTGGTTTTGTCGTCTCACTGATACAAGGTTGTAGCCCAGTGTCGTGGTTTTGTCGTCTCACTGATATCAGGTTGTAGCCCAGTGTCGTGGTTTTGTCGTCTCGCTGATACCAGGTTGTAGCCCAGTGTCGTGGTTTTGTCGTCTCACTGATACCAGGTTGTAGCCCAGTGTCGTGGTTTTGTCGTCTCACTAATACCAGGTTGTAGCTTAGTGTCGTGGTTTTGTCGTCTCACTGATACCAGGTTGTAGCCGAGGTCATTGTTTTGTCGTCTCACTGATACCAGGTTGTAGCCCAGTGTCGTGGTTTTGTCGTCTCACTGATACCAGGTTGAAGCCCAGTGTCATGGTTTTGTCGTCTCCTTGATACTAGGTTGTAGCCCAGTGTCGTGGTTTTGTCGTCTCACTGATACCAGGTTGTAGCCCAGTGTCGTGGTTCTGTCGTCTCACTGATACCAGGTTGTAGCCCAGTGTTATGGTTTTGTCGTCTCACTGATACCAGGTTGTAGCCCAGTGTCATGGTTGTGTCGTCTCACTAATACCAGGTTGTAGCCCAGTGTCATGGTTTTGTCGTCTCACTGATACCAGGTTGTAGCCCAGTGTCATGGTTTTGTCGTCTCACTGATACCAGGTTGTAGCCCAGTGTCATGGTTTTGTGGTCTCACTGATACCAGGTTGTAGCCCAGTGTCGTGGTTTTGTCGTCTCGCTGATACCAGGTTGTAGCCCAGTGTCGTGGTTTTGTCGTCTCACTGATACCAGGTTGTAGCCCAGTGTCATGGTTTTGTCGTTTCACTGATACCAGGTTGTAGCCCAGTGTCGTGGTTATGTCGTCTTACTGATACCAGGTTGTAGCCCAGTGTCATGGTTTTGTGGTCTCACTGATACCAGGTTGTAGCCCAGTGTCGTGGTTTTGTCGTCTCGCTGATACCAGGTTGTAGCCCAGTGTCGTGGTTTTGTCGTTTCACTGATACCAGGTTGTAGCCCAGTGTCGTGGTTATGTCGTCTTACTGATACCAGGTTGTAGCCCAGTGTCATGGTTTTGTGGTCTCACTGATACCAGGTTGTAGCCCAGTGTCGTGGTTTTGTCGTCTCGCTGATACCAGGTTGTAGCCCAGTGTCGTGGTTTTGTCGTCTCGCTGATACCAGGTTGTAGCCCAGTGTCGTAGTTTTCTGTATGTCTTAGGCTTCTCGAGTAGCTTGAGTGATGGATTTGTTCAACGTTTTGCATTTTTCATCTACACCATTTATTCATCTCTTTCTTGGTCTTCCTCTCACCGTTCTCCTAAATGTTTTACTGTAAAAAGTCTCATATGCAGTCTGGTCTGGCTGCATTCTCACTAGATGGCCGAACCATTTCATTATTTTTCAGTCAACATAATCCAGACATGGTCTTATTTCAACTTTCTCTCTAATGCTGGTATTCGTATCTCTGTGTCGTATAGTGTTGTTTGTAAAAAAGTAAAAACTTTAGAATTCAAGTAATTTAAATGTACTTGTAAACTAGAAAGTATCTTTCTCTACTAAAAGTCGTGGGCCGTTTCATTTTCTCTGGTGGAGTTCAGACCGGGCTCATGTGACCTATTTCTTTTCTTGCGTCCGCCGTTAAAATGGCGCCTGTAACATTCTTTCAAAACTACATGGTGAAATCTGAAACTTTTACTCGTCCCACTGTCCAAGGGGAAATGGAACCCCGGTACTCGAAGATCATGAAATTGTTAAACGAATTCACTAACCTTTAAGCCACAGAGACAGATAAATCCACTCAGATCAAAATGGTAGGAAGCTCAAGAAAGTGAAAGGGAGAAACTTGCTTAGCTAAAAATGAACGTTTCGATTCAGGTTTTTTCTTTGTCAAAAATAAATACCTATGCCCCAAAACTGTAACTATCACACGGAAGAAAACACAGGCAGAGGAACATAAATTGAAAAAGGAAAGGATTTTTATAAATAAAATTTAAACATTATAACCTCTAAAAAATGCGCAAAAATATTGTTTTGTCTAAATTAGACGACAGAATGTTGAAAATTGATTCCTGCTGTACTGAGGACACCCACACAATTGATAAGGCGTTTTCTTACGGAAAGACGGGTGTGTGATCGTTGTAGCAAGATTTCATGGCAGCGACAGACATATCAGTTTTCACCTGATCTCCAGGGCTGTTAAAAGAGAGAGGAAGTCCTAAAATTACTTTCTTTTCTGACTTTTGAATTGTGGATTATTTAAAATAGAGAGTCGGCGTCTGTGGCTTAGGCGTTGCGAACGCGCTTCGTAATGCTGGGGTGCCGGGTTCGATCCCTGCTACGGACGGTTTGTCTTGCGATGGTTTCGACCGTGGTACTGAAAGCCGACCACCCAGAAAGCAATGGCAAACTACTGGACGTAAATTGCATAGAAAAACCACAACAGCCAGAAAGTGCTGGGGTTGGTTCTGCAACGTCTTGTAAAAGGATACGCAACTAATTTTTTAACATAATGGAGGCATAGACTCATGGAGTTGTTGCTTATCTTGCAGGTATAATTGCAGTAGTGCGGACCAATGCCAGACAGAGTATAAGAAGGGAACGACGAGCCTCGTTAAATTATTGCAGGAAGCTAGAAAAGTATAAACAGCTCAGCATCGAACAGAACGAAGAAATTCAAATTCTACAAAGGATTTTGCTAGAGAACAATATATTCTTTCACCCAGTCATCATTAAATTCCATACTACATAAATGCTGTTTGAGGTTTGCACCGCACAATAAAGTGGCAGAATTGACAATAAGGATCGTTCGTTTTTGCATTGTTGTTGTACGTTACATGACACTCTTGTTTCTGTGTTAGGCGAGGGTTTGAATCCCTGGTACTGGTAGCCAAATGTAATCGATAAACAAGAAAGAGGCATCTTTTTTTTTTTTTTTGGGGGGGGGGGGAGGGGGGGGGTTGCATCTTTAGAGTACTGTGCCAGGAATTTTAGGGTCTCTCTGTTGCTCATCGTCATTCTTATTCTGGTTCCTTTCGTTTGATGATAGACCCTCATGTCTGCACTAATGGTACATCTTGTCAACTGGTTAACTACTTGCTTGCCTTTCACCCGAGTCTTGAGCGGCGCATCCCTCTTCCAAATACGGGTTTTCAATATTCTTCCTTTTACTTGTTGCCTCATCCCTACAGGCAAGAGATTACTTCTGCCTTGTGCAGTTGCAGTACACTCCCCCCCCCCCCACCACCACCAAGTGGGGCTAGTCCAGCAAGCCTGTCTACATGCTCATTCCTTATCACGCCTACATTGGCCAGACAAAACATTCAAATGACACTCCACTTTCCTGAGCATGCTTTGAGAATCCAGAACTATGACCACATGTGTGACTGAGATATTCTTCACCTATCGAAACACAGCAGGTTCCGTCTCAACCTCCATTCTCATGCCAGGTGAGGGGATACTTCATCATGCCAGGTGAGGTGATACTTCATCATGCCAGGTGAGGGGATACTTCATCATGCCAGGTGAGGTGATACTTCATCATGCCAGGTGAGGTGATACTTCATCATGCCAGGTGAGGTGATACTTCATCATGCCAGGTGAGGTGATACTTCATCATGCCAGGTGAGGGGATACTTCATCATGCCAGGTGAGGTGATACTTCATCATGCCAGGTGAGGTGATACTTCATCATGCCAGGTGAGGGGATACTTCATCATGTCAGGTGAGGTGATACTTTATCATGCCAGGTGAGGTGATACTTCATCATGCCAGGTGAGGTGATACTTCATCATGCCAGGTGAGGTGATACTTCATCATGCCAGGTGAGGTAATACTTCATCATGCCAGGTGAGGTAATACTTCCTCATGCCAGGTGAGGTGATACTTTATCATGTCAGGTGAGGTGATACTTTATCGTGTCAGGTGAGGTAATACTTCATCATGTCAGGTGAGGTGATACTTCATCATGCCAGGTGAGGTGATACTTTATCATGCCAGGTGAGGTGATACTTTATCTTGCCAGGTGAGGTAATACTTCATCATGCCAGGTGAGGGGATACTTCATCATGCCAGGTGAGGTGATACTTCATCATGCCAGGTGAGGGGATACTTCATCATGCCAGGTGAGGTGATACTTCATCATGCCAGGTGAGGTGATACTTCATCGTGCCAGGTGAGGGGATACTTCATCATGCCGTGGCTAAGCCCAGCAAACTCAATGTAATTACGACTATGATTGTACAATCATGTATGTCTCATATACGACCGTCAACAGATCCCATCCTCCAAGGTTAGTTGTGTATCCTTTACAGGACGTTGCAGAACCAACCCCTACAGCCCCTGGCTGTTGTGTGGTTTTTCTAGGCAAATTTACGTCCAGTAGTTTGCCATTTCTTCCTGGACGGTCAGCTTTCTTGATACCACTGTCGAAACCAACACAAGACGCATGGCCCGCAGCTGGGATCGAACCCGGCATCCCGGCTTTCATCCTCCAAGACTGTCCCAAAATACAACATGTCCAGGCAAAACTTATGGCTAAGAGAGACACTGGTGGAAGCCAAACTTTACTGGCCGCTAAGTGAATTACAAAAGACAGTGAAGTGAAGTTAATACTAGAGACAGCACGACAGGTATAGATAATTTATTTCGAGCCAAAGAGAGAAGAAGAAAATATGACTGTAAAATTATGTTATTCTCATTTACGATTGTACAAACAAGCAGTCACGTAATTCTGACACACGGCTGTAAAATCGTGTAATTCTGACACACGGCTGTAAAATCGTGTAATTCTGACACACGGCTGTAAAATCGTGTGATTATGACATACGACTGTAGAATCATGTAATTATGACATAGGGCTGTTGAATCATGCACTTCTGACAAACGACTGTAAAATCATGGAACCTTGACATACGACTGTAAAATCATGGAACCTTGACATACCCCTGTAAAATCATAGAACCTTGAAATAGCACTGTAAAATCAAAGAACCTTGAAATACCACTGTAAAATCAAAGAACCTTGAAATACCACTGTAAAATCAAAGAACCTTGAAATACCACTGTAAAATCAAAGAACCTTGAAATACCACTGTAAAATCATAGAACCTTAACATACCACTGTAAAATCATGGAACCGTGACACACAACTCCCGACGTGCTAGGTTAACATGGTCGTGGATGGTTTTTTTCTTAAGGGGGGGGGGGGGGAAGGGGGGTGATTTAAACAATAAAACGTGATTTGCAGCGTGCAAAAGACACTGACCTCCTTGAGTGATATATTAAAATAATAATAATAACAACAACAACAGTGTAAAAACTTCAGCCAACTTTCAATGTGGAGGCGGCACACATATTTTAAGACGCGGAAATGCAAAAACATGAACATGAGATACACAACTGTAAAATCAGTGGATCCTCTAATCTTATGTCACAGTCACACAAAATCCAGTCTTATATCACAGTTACACAGCTATCCAGTCTTTCGCGCAACCTCAATAAAATGCAATTTTATGTCACAGTCACATGAAAAAGCAATTTTATGTCACAGTCACATGAAAAAGCAATTTTATGTTACAGTCACACCAAAATCTAGTCTTGTGTCACAGTCACACAGTCATCCAATCTTTTGTCACAGCCAAAATAAAATCCATTCTTATATCACACCAAATCCAATCTTATGTCACAGTCACACGAAAATCCAGTCTTATGTCACAGTCACATGAAAATCAAATCTTATGTCACAGTCACACAGTCATCTTGTGTTTTGTCACAGCCACAATAAAATCCTATCTTAAGTTACTGTCACTCGAAAATTAAATCTTTTGTCACAGTCTCACTAAAATCCAATCGTATGTTACAGTCATAATGAAAATCCAATCTTATGTGGCAGTTACATAAAAATTCAATCTTATGCCACATTTACACAAAACTCCAATCCTATGTCACAGTTACAGATCTAATCTTTAGTCACCGTTATATGAACCTCAAATCTTTTATCATAATTATAGGAACCTCCAATCTTTTGTCACAATTATAGGAACCTCCAATCTTTTGTAACAATTATAGGAACCTCCAATCTTTTGTCACAATTATAGGAACCTCCAATCTTTTGTCACAATTATAGGAACCTCCAATCTTTTGTCACAATTATAGGAACCTCCAATCTTTTGTCACAATTATAGAAACTTCCAATGTTTTGTCTCAATTATAAGAACCTCCAATCTTTTGTCACAGTTATAAACCTCCAATCTTTTGTCACAATTATGGGAATCTCCCATCTTTTGTCCCAATTATAAGAACCTCCAATGCTTTGTCACAATTATTAAAACCTCCAATCTTTTGTCACAGTTATAAATCTTTAATCTTATGTCACAGTTACACAACAGTAAGATCTTTTGTCACAGTTATCCCATCCCCCAGTCACCATTTTCATCCCTGAGTTAAATGTGATAATTACATAATTAGTTTTATGTTACATTCACAATTCTCTCCTACATCTTCTGACAATTAAACAACGAGCTTGATTTTATTATGACCAAGAAGAAAACTACATCAGTGGAGAGAAGTTCCAAACGGGCAATACTAATCTATAATCTGGATTAGCAGACGTTAAGTAACCCGCCATTTTGTTTAACAAGTGAGAAGTGCGTGGTTATGTATGCAGCATAATGCTACATAATGTAACATGTGCGTATCGAGAGGGCATCGTCGTTGCAGAATAACATGAACTGTTATCAGCGGTTTAGTATTTGTTTCTACAACGTGTATCACAGTTCCAGTGTGCTGTATTACAGTACCTGACTAGTGTGTCAGAGAAGACTGCATGTAAACAGAGCCGAAGGGGAGTTATTGCATGAAGTAAGATATGGCATGAGAACCATATCAGAGTAAATTATAACAGGAAAATCTGTCAAGAGTAAGATATAAGAAGAAAGTTATCTGCGAGTATCATATAGTGAAAGAATTATGTAAAAACAGATTATAACTGCAATCGGGTCATCACATACATGCGCCGTTACTGGGATGGTGAAAATCAAAGGAAATGTTCCTGACTGCCTATTTGCAAAACTGGTGAACAAACAAGTCGTCGCCACACAATCTACAAATATGCTCACGCAGTAAATGAATAAGACAGTTGCTAGAGGGGTCAAAACATACAGTCGCCATCATAAATGTAGTTTGTCGTTAATAGAAATAGTCAGTCACGATAAGTTAGCCATACACACGCAAAATTGTTACATTAGGTATTTCGCCAGCTCACACGTTAACCGGCTACCTTCCATACTAAATATCACGATACAGCTACTGGAATATATTATTAATGTAAGAGTGATATTTATTAAATAGGCCCACACAATGAAACTGGCCATTCCGCCAAACCCTGGCTAGTTTCCAGTGTTCCCTCAATTCCTCACCGGCACAGTATTCCACTATACACAAAGCTGTTGTAACCGTTAAGGGAACCCCCAGTTATAACCGCTATGGGGTTGGACAGCGTATCAATGATTTGCTCTGTTGGCTTGCTGTCTAGATTCAGATTTTTGTAATCTCAAAGTTAAAACCTTCAAGTTGCATCCAAGGAGATGGGGAGCGTAGGATGGAAGCTGTGTTTCAGTGTCTTCCTGTTTTTCTTCAGCTGGTTCGCCTCTCATTTAGTCTACAGTTGCCTGCTAGTCCTGACCATCTGAAGCTTCCCTGGCTATAGCCACATTGGCGTTACTGCCAGTCTTTGGCTGGAAGTTGAATGTGA